AGTACCTGCGTAGTTATATTAACGAGAACCCTAACGACTAGGTCAACCTCCTGTAACTAGCTGAATTCGTATACAATAACAGTGTCCACTTATCGACTAAGGTATTACTATACATAGCTATAATAGGCTAGAACGCTGCTATACCGCAAGACCTACTATCGCTCGAGGCCGAGCGCAAGGAAAGGGAAGCGCGTTAAGTACCCGAAATACTAGCGGCTATTAAGAGGGTTTAGAAGATGCGAGAAATCTATACTAAGATAGCCGAGAAGTTGACAAAGGCTTAAGAGTACTAAAAGACCTACTACGATAAGCACTACACGCCGATAACCTTTAAACAAGGCGATATAGTTATACTAAGTACTAAGAACCTCCGCATCTGCAAACACCTATTACCTAACGGCAAAACAAGGCCTAAGCTCGCACTAAGATACATTAGCCCATTCCGCATTCGAGAGGCTAAGGGCATACAGGCCTATTAGTTGTAGCTCCTACCTTATTATACTATCTATAACACCTTCTATGTATCCCTCCTTAAGCCGTACTACCTGCGCGAAGGGGATGAAGCCTCTATAGAACACGAAGACATACTAGCGGATAGTAAGGAGCTATAGTCTATAGAACGTATCCTATAGCACTAGACTAGGAAAGGCAAGAAGGAGTACCTGCTAAGATAGCAAGGCTATTTACCTGAATAGGACTTATAGGAAGCTAAAGGTTCCTTTAAGGATATAACCGAGTTATTAGATAAGTATTAGACTAGTGTAAAGAACAAGAAGAAGGCTAAGGGCCTATAATGTCGCCTAGGATTAATGCTACCCCCGGGGTGCTATTAGCTAACTAATTAGCTGCAAGCAATTGTTAGCAACAAGAGACAATAAGACTACACTACTATAGTAAACGCGCACCGAGTGTTAACAAGCGCGCTACGACGCGTTAACTAATTGTACGCTCTTTTAAGGGCTCTACCTCTTTACTAATGCGCCCTATAAGGCCTTCTCCTAGCACTTAGGTCCCCCTCTTGTTCCTTTATTCTGTCGAGGCCTCGAGGCCTAGGCAATCGGCAAGGACGGCGCGGCCGGCGCGGCTATATTAGTAACAGTGTTACGGAGTGTGTTAATATTTAAGAAAGGAAGGACATAGCTATATTAGTAACGGTGTTGCCGAGTTATTATTAGTTAAAGAAGGAAATTAGAAGAAGGTGAAGTTAGCGCTAAGACGACTAGCGTCGCTATTATTAACATTACTTGCTATTGTCGACCTTACCTGCACTAAAACTCTAAGGCACCTTTAATTAAAACTTTGATCAAACTTTAAGGCTAAGTTAAAACTTTGAGCCGCTTAAAAGATTAAGTAGACTAATAGACTAACTAACTAAGGGCAAAACTATAGAGCTAAGCTAGCTAGGGTCGATCTTGCAGATAATAGGTTACTCCTCGATCTATCTGGCCCTTTAAGCGAGGCGAACCTCTACTACTGCACTTATAATAGCCTTTACCTATAGAAACTAGAAGAACTGAGTTTTTTGAAAAGATATAATTAGTTGACACTTAAAGGCTGCTAAACCTAGCTAATTAGGGCTAGCGAAACTACGAACAATAAGAATAATAACCCTCGGAACGGACAAACCCTCGGAAGCGGACATTGCTAGGTCTTTTAAGAGTAGACGCAAAGAACTCGATATAATATCACTTAGAACGGAGGCAGTGCTGCAATACCTCGTACGTCTACCTATTATAGTAGGGAAGACGCGCTCGTATTATAATTAGTCGATAGTCCTTAATTCTTGTAGTTATATATCACTTTATTGTATATAGGGATAGCGCAGTTGGAGTTGGACATTGTATTGTATTAGAGGTGAGGTTTAACATAGTTACATAATCGGTGATTACGTGTTCAATTTAGCGCGGACTGAGAAGCTTGCTAGACCTGCTAAGTTAGTAGCGATAGAGGTTAAGAATAGGACATAGACCGGCTACGAGGGCGCGGCCTTTAGAAGGGAAGCGTGTATCAGGACCAAAGAGGTTACACGTAATTAGCATGTGACTAGGCTCGAGTAAAGCTAGGGTCTTGATGCCTTAGGCAGGGCTTAGCGCTTAGCGTTAGGCCAACTGGCCTGCCTTCCTCCCTCTCCTCTTAGATCTCTATCGAATACTATACTAATTTACTACCACCCTATCTACCTGCTAACATAACCCTTCTTACAACTGGCAGCTTGCAATGTATTTGTTTTGATTACTAATCGTATATATATCTCGACTACCGAGGCTAGCAAACTTCGATAGCTAAAGGCTCTTAGACTCTACAACTATAGGCCTAGGTATGTTTATATTATATATAATATAGCTATCTATAAGGTTCTAGGAATACGATACTAGTTTTAGAGAATATTATAATTTTAGTTTCTATATATATCTATGCCCTAGTTTATAAAGGAAAATTTACTAATCTTACAATTCTTAATTATAGTTATGCTTTTTTAAGTTATATAGTAGTTTGTTCTAGCTATAGTATATAGTTTAGTAGGGCTTAGTATAAGTACTAGTATCTAAGTAGTAGTTTGCTGCTAGTCTAGACGCGCGCTATTAATTCCCTTAGACTCTTAGTTAGTAGGCTTTAAATATTTAGTTAGAAAACGAAATATATCTATAGCAAATACTAAGTACTACTTAGCTAATTACTATAGTAAGAGAGAATAGGACTTTAGCTATATACTAAAATAGCGATTTAGACTTTAGTAGTAAATTTACTAGTAGTAAAAGTTATTAACCTTAGCTTAAAATATATAAATAAAATTTAATTATTTAGGCTATATATAGAATATATACTAAAAGAATAGATATACTACCTTAGTAGAGGCCTAGATATATTATATATAACCCCCTAATTACTAGTAGTTATTATCTAGCTAGTAAGTCTAGTAGTATAATTCTTAGAGATTAATAGCTTTAAGCTATACTATCTAGCTATTATAGATTTAGCTATTATACTAGTTATTTCTACTACTAGTCCCCCGATAAATTATATAGTTTAAAGGAAGGGCTATATACTACGCTCAACCTTCGAGTTAAAAAGAAAAATAGTAGCGAACAATCAGAGACGAAGGGAAGACAGTTAAGAAGGAAGGGAGGACGAATGGAAAGCACTATATACGAGGGCAGAGGAGGTACTAAAGGCGGAAGATAGAAGAACCCCTAAGAGGGCATATAGGATAATGATCTTAGAACTCCTTAGAGGACTAAAAGCAATCTATAACTAGGCAAGCTACGTAATTACAAAGGTAGCTAATATAGTCGCAGCAAAGATTACGAAGAAACAATAGGAGATAAGCCTAAACTACCGCACCTAGGTAGCAGTAGCTAGTTAGGAGGCGCTAAAACCCCCGAGGACAGTAGTTAGAGTCTATATTACAGACCTATAGGAGCAAAAGGAAATCTAAGGACTTATAGGGAAAGAGATTGTAGAAAGAATTACAGTTAAAGAGGTAATTAGGGCTAGGAACGAAGGTAAAGGGGTAATCAAGCTGTTTATAGTATAAGAGTAGGACAAAAAGAAGCTAGAAACATAAAAAGAATAGACAACTAAGATAGGGAAAACAGCAAAGGTCTCCTAATAGCAATTTATAATTATAGCCTATAGTATAATAAGAAGCTTTAAGGAAGAACAGGATATTAAGAGCCTATAGAGACAAAACCAAGCTATATACCTAGGCCTAAAGATTACAAAAGTAGCATAGATCAAAAGGAAAATCGAAGAGACTAAGAAGCAGTCTTCCCTAATTATCTAGGTAGGGAGTATAGAGCAAGCTAATATAGTACTAGACTAGGGGTTGTTCTAGGACTTTAAAAGATTAGAAACAGAGATATATAGAAGCAACTATAGGATAATATAGTGCTTTAAATATTAGCACTATAGACACTTAGTAGCTAAGTATATAAAGACAACTAACACCTGCTCCTATTGTATAGGGGATTACTAGGTTAAAGAATGCAAAGCATATAAGGGAGAAGCAAGATGTATATACTATACTAAAAGACACCCCTCTTAGGCGAAGGAATACCTAGTAAGAATACAGGCAGCTAGGAAGGTAAAGGAAGCTAGAATCAACATACCAAAAAGATATACAATAAGCTAGGGCAGCTAGGTGTAGAAGCAACCTAGCTAAGTACTATAAAAGAGGTCTAGATAAGATAATAGGTTTACATTCAGGGCCTTACTAGCACAAGAGAGTCACTAGCAACTAGGGAGACTAAGATACCTTAATATTGCAGGAAAGGAAGCAGGGCAGACAAAGCTTAGTCAAATATTGGTCTAAAGTAAGGGAAGACTAAAGGAAAACTTATAGGGAAATGATATAGATAAAACCTAATAAACATTGCAATATTACTAAACATTATACAGTACAATATCAATAAGAGCAAAGATAAGGTACAGAGGAGCTTCCTTTAAGCACTAAATCTAAAAGAACATTACATTATTGCAATCTAAGAGCCCTAGCTCAACCTATATACAAAGAGACTAGCAACAGTTAAAGACCTAAGATACTACCCAATTATCTATAACTAGGGAGCCCTAAGGATATATATCTACATTAGCAAGGAGATAGATATAGAAACCTAGTAGGCTATACTATAGGAGGATAGGGATCTAACATTAGTTTAAGTAGAGATATCCTAAGGTATACTCTAAGTCTACTATATATATAACCTACTACTAGACTTAAGAAGCAGTACCTAACTAAAAACCCTAGAAAGACTACCTAGAGTTATCTAGGGGAACACCTACTAAATCCTACTTAGGGATTTCAACCTCTACTACCCCCTCTAGGGCTTAGACTTTACCCTAGCTTACTACTTCCTAGCAGGAAGACTAATTGATATATTAGAGAGGGAAGGAATAGAAATTGTTACCCTAAAGGGACTAATTACTTAGGAGGCAAGAGGAAGCAGTAGCATACTAGACCTATACTTTGTATTATATTAGATTAGGAACAGGATTATAAGATGCAGGGTCAACTAGGAACTAGAAGAATTATTAGACTACCTCCCGGTATAGATTAAGCTAAATGTCTAAGCTAATTAGGAAAGGGAACTAGAGGAGAAGCTTAACTAGAAAGGTGCCTAATAGGGCAGGATTAAGGAGGAACTAGAAAGGGACCCAAAACTAGAGGAACTCTTAATAAAGCACCTACTAAGGCTAGAGGATATTAATAAAGCAGTAGAAGAACTAATAGGAATCCTAAAACAGGTAGCTAGAAAGTATACCCTAGCAAAGAAACATTCACTATACTAGCAACTATACTAGACTAGTAAGTGTATAAGGAAGGTTAAAGTAGTAAGGAAGGCTAGGAGGTAGTAGACACAAACCTATACCTAGGAAGTATAGGACAACTATAACAAAGCCTACTAGGAAAAGAAGATCTAGATTAAGAAAGACAAGATATAAGAATAGAGATCTATAACAGGAATAATTACAAAGAAACTAGAGGAGATATAGAGGATAGCTAAATAGGCAAGGAGACCTAAACAGGACAAAGACATACTACTACAATTCCCGGACATTATAGACCAATAAGGATAAATATAGACCACAATAGAAGGGAAAGTAAGAGCCCTAGGCTAACACTTCTTCTATAGAAAAGTATAAGCAGACCTATTAGATATAAAGGAGAAAGAATAAGAGGCTCTACTACTAGGCACACTAAGAGACACTTAGGTTAAACCCGAAACCATTGAAAGGATCCTAAAGAAAATTCTAGGCAACAAGGCACTAGGAGAAGACAAGATCTATAATAAACTTCTAAAAGTATATAGGAAGGGGCTAGCCCTAGTACTAGCTAATATCTTTTTATAAAGCCTAGCACTAAGACACTACCTAAGACTATTTAGGAAGTCCCTAATAGTAGTGCTAAGGAAGCCCTAGAAGGAAGACTATATACAGCTCAAGGCCTATAGACTAATAGCCCTACTTAACATAATAGGCAAGGTGCTAGAAAAAATTATCGCTAAAAGGCTAACAACCTTCGCCGAGGAAAGGAACATCCTTCCTAAAGGCTAGATAGGAGGAAGAAAGAAGAGGTCAACACTAATAGCTATAGAACTAATTATAGAACAGATCAAGCATATCTAGCACTATAGTTAAAACTAGGTAGCAACCCTCCTCTCCCTTAATATCTTAGGAGCCTTTAATAATGTCTCCTATAAAAGGCTCCTATATATACTTAAATAGAAAGCTATACTAAACTAGATAGTCCAATTTATCTAGTCCTTCCTATAGGAAAGATTAATACAGCTTATTCTAGGCAAATTCAAATCAGATCTAATGCTAACTAAAAAGGGAATCCCCTAAGGATCAATACTCTCCCTAATCCTCTTCCTTATCTTTATAGTAGACCTACTCCTACTCCTAGAATCAAAAAACACATTAGCATTAGGGTTTATAGATAACACAAACATCCTTACCTAGTCTAAGACAATAGAAACCAACTGCAAGATCCTAGAAGAGAAGTACTAAGAGTATAAAAAATAGGCAAGAAGGTATAGAGCAAAATTCGCCCTAAAAAAGTACTAGCTTATCCACTTTAGCAAGGCTAAATTAACCTATAATATAAAGCAATCAATTACTATCTAAGGCTTTAAAACCCAACTATTAGCAGAGCTTAGGGTACTAGGGATCTAGCTAGATCTAAAACTGAACTAGGGACTATAAGTAAAGAAGGCAAAGCAGAGGGCAGATACTAATATACAATCTATTAATAGGCTTATAGCCTCTATATAGGGGGCTATATTCGAGAAAGCCAAAGTTATATATAAAGCAATTATCAAGCTAGCAATACTATATAGAGCATAGATATAGACAGCCTAGGAGAAAACACTAAAGAGGATTAAGCAACTAGTTAGTAGGTCCTAAACCTAAAGCCTAAAGAAAATCCTAGGAGCATATAAAACTATACTAACAAGGGTAGTAGAAATGGAATTAGGGATCCTACTAGTTAAACAATACTTCAAGGGACTAAGACACTAATATATAGCAAAGACAATAGAATACCTAGCCTAATAGACTATCTAAAAGGCACTAGACAAGATAAAAGCCTAGTGCATTAGGACTAGGAGGCGAGATAGACTACAAATAACTCCCTAGAAAGTTAAAGACCTAGAGCAATATAGAGTCTTAATAAGAGAAATGCTAGAGAAAGAGCTTTAGGGACTAAATATAAGGCTAAAGGAAGACAAGCTAAAGGGAGAGAAATAAAGCCTAGTAGAATCAATTACTAGATACCTATAGGAGCAGGAATAGAATAAAACATAAGTTAGACTAGGAACCCTAAAGGCACTAATTAAATTTAGTTAATACAACTACTAGCTCTATAAGGACCTAAACAGGGCCGAAGCAAGCCTAGCTATCTAAATCAGATCTAAATACATTAGACTCAGATCTTACCTGTTTAGAAGAAACGTCCTAGGAATTAAAAGCAGGGCTTACTAATATAGCTACCAATCTTAGAACCCTAAGTATATACTGCTAGTCTGCCCTTAATAGTCGGAAGGCAGAAGTAATTAGAGACTAAAAGCAATAGAAAGGGAATACGACAAGCTAATCTAGAGCAAAGAAGACCTAAAGAGGATAGTAAAGTAGATTATTAAACAGGGATTTATATAACAATTCGCACTAATAAGGGAAACTAAGGAGTAGATAAGAAGGAGGGAAGAAGAGGGGGAAAGAAGGGCAGGGCAGTAGGTAAGGTAGTTAGAGGGTAACAACTATAACACTAGTATACCCTAGAGGAAGGAAAATAAGGAAACGAGGAAGATTAACACTTATAAATAGGACAGGAGGGAGGTTTTTACCAACTAAGTTGGTTTCCTACCTAAAACAATATATAGAAACAGACCTATATAGGCCGAAAGGCACTATAATAGGCAAATAAAATATCTATCTATCTATATAGTTTAAAGTATAGAATACTAAATTACTAACTTCTAAATAGAGATAGGTCGATTAGTAGAGGTCGGTTAACGGTTCGACTAATAGTTTGATTTATAGTTTGATTAATAGTTTGATTGATAGTTTGATTAATAGTTTGATTAATAGTTTGATTAATAGTTTGATTAATAGTTTCATAAATAGTTTGACTAATAGTTTGATTAATAGTTTGATTAATAGTTTGATTAATAGTTTGATTAATAGTTTGATTAATAGTTTGATTAATAGTTTGATTAATAGTTTGATTAATAGTTTGATTAATAGTTTGATTAATAGTTTGATTAATAGTTTGATTAATAGTTTGATTAATAGTTTGATTAATAGTTTAATTAGTAGTTTAAATAGAAGTTAGATTACTAATAATAGTTTAATTCAAAACGTAATTAGTAGTTTAATTAATAGTCTAATTAATAGTTTAACTAACCGTTTGATTAGTAGTTTAATTAGTAGTATAATTAATAGTTTAATTAGTAGTTCGACTAGTAGTTTTAGTTCAACAGAAACTTTAATTAGTATTATAGTAGTAGCTAGTCCCCCGATAAATTATATAGTTTAAAGTATATAATACTAAACTACTAGCTTCTAAATAGAGATAGGTCGATTAGTAAGTTAATTAGTAGGTCGATTAATAGTTCGATTAATAGTTCGATTAATAGTTCGATTAATAGTTCGATTAATAGTTCGATTAATAGTTCGATTAATAGTTCGATTAATAGTTCGATTAATAGTTCGATTAATAGTTCGATTAATAGTTCGATTAATAGTTCGATTGATAGTTCGATTAATAGTTCGATTAATAGTTCGATTAATAGTTCGATTAGTAGTTTAATTAGTAGTCTTATTAGTAGTTCAATTCGTAGTTTAAGTACTAGTAATAGTTTCATTTAAAATTAAATTAGTAGTTTAATTAGTAGTTTTATTAGTAGTTTAACTAGTAGTTTTATTGGTATTTTAACTAGCAATTTAATTAGCAGTTTCATTAACTATTTAATTAATAGTTTAATTAGTAGTTCGATTACTAGTTTTAGTCTAATAGAAGTTTTAACTAGTATTTTATTAGTAGTTAGTCCCCTAATAAATTATATAATTTAAAGTATGTAGTACTAAATTACTAATATCTAAATGGAGATAGGTCGATTAGTAGGTCGATTAGTAGATCGATTAGTAGTTCGATTAGTAGTTTAGCTAGCAGTTTAATTAGTAGTTTGATTGCTAGTAACGGTTGATTTAAAATTTCGTTAGTAGTTTAATTAGTAGTTTAACTAGTAGCTTAACTAGTAGTTTAATTAGTCGTTTTATTAGTAATTTTACAAATAGCTTGATTAACTATTTAATTAATAGTTTAATTAGCAGTTCGATTACTAGTTTTAGTTTAACAAAAATTTTAATTAGTATTTTATTAGTAGTTTCTTTAATAGTTTTATTAGTAGTTTTATTAATAGTTTTATTAGTAGTTTTGTTAATAGTATTGTTTCTAGTTTAGTTAGTAGTCTTAGTACTTTAATTAGTAGTCCTATTTATAGGTTAGCTTATAGTCTTAGTAGTTTTAATTAGTAGTCTTATTAACAGTTTTATTAGCAGTTTTATTAATAGTCCTATTAGTAGTTTTACTAACTATTTTACTATTAGTGCTATTTGAGTTATTAGTTTTATTATTAGTTTTATTATTAGTTCTTTTGTTAGGTTCACTAATAGTTTAGCTAATAGTTTATCTAATAGTCTATCTAACAGTTTACCTAATAGTTTAATTAATAGGTTTGTTAATAGTTTTCTTAATACCTAGTCCTACTAGTAGCTGCCTACTAGTAGCCCTACTAATAGTCTAATAGTCCAAAGTTACTGGCAGCTCTACAGCCTCTACTAATAGCTTTATTAAAATTAATAGTACTATTAGTAGTCTTACTAATATTTTCGCTACGGGGACCTTTATACTAGTCGATAGGCTTCGTATTTAGTAGAATATAGCTATATCTAGGTCTTTAGTCTACGTTAAGCTCCTACTAAATTTTTATTAGCGTTTTACGCTTATATCCGGGTTTCGCTAAGCGCTTTCGATTTACGTTCTACGCTAAAATCCGGGATAAGTTAAACTTCCCTTTAATCTTTAATTAAATATTACTTCTACTAAAATTCTTAGCTAATTATTTCGGTCTTAGCGGACAACTTAGATTTTCGCGGGCGGTAGGCGCGGTATCTAGATTAGTAGCTACGGTACTAATTATTTCGGTATTAGCGGACAACTTAGATTTTAATACTAGCTAATACTAGCTAATAGTCCGAGCTAATACTAGCTAACACTAGCTAATACTAGCTAATACTAGCTAGCTAACACTAGCTAATACCTACGCTAAAATCCGGGGCAAGTCAAATTTCCCTTTAATATTTGTTTCGATTGACGTTCTACGCTGAAATCCGGGGTAAGTCAAATTTCCCTTCAATCTTTGATTGAATATTACTTCTACGAAATTTCTCAGCCAATCATTTCGGTCTTAGCGGACAACTTGGATTTTCGCGGGCGGTGGCCGCGGTGTCTAGATTAGCAGCTGCGCTGCCAAAAAAGAGAGTTTTCGGTTGTTGCGATTCCCTGTTTCACCGCATGCAGCTTCGAATGGAATGCAATGCAATGCAATGCAATGCACGGAGCTATGGCCGTGCCGTTTGCTGCGGAAGATGTGTGGAACAGTGTACAATGCAAACCTCTGCCGAGCCCGCAAGATGATTCCTCATCTTTCTCGTCCTACGACACGGCACGATTAATGCTTCGTTTGATGGCGACCAGTGCAACATGGCCTGTTTGAAGAGCGCGCATGAAACGGGCGCGGGCTAATGCGATGCGCGACTGACCTCGCTCCAAGCCTCCAGCTAACTAGTAACTACGGCAAGCGGCCATGCGGGTGACGCGCCGGTTGTAGTAGGTCTTTGTCTTTGCGCCTGTTTGTCTCTCGATTCCTGAGCTGATCCTGCTTCCTGCATTGTCGTTGCGCGCTGCTTTCCTCCTTCCTTGCTCACGCCTTGGCAGTCCTCTCGTTCTTGCTTGTCTGGGTCTGGGATTGGAGCCAGGACAATCATCGGAATAACGAAAATTCAGCCCGGTGCTGCTTTCCCACATTGCAGCAGCATACAGTAGAGAAAGAGAAGAACAAACCCGACAGATATTGGAAAACAGCACTCGCGACTGAACTACGGCTCCCGCTACCGCCTTCACCTGCTGCTTCCTGTAACGGCAGCTTGTGCGTCTTGCTCGACTTCTGTGTTTACGAGCGCTTTCGACATCCTCCACCTCACCTCTCGACTGCTCCGCCTCCTTCACCTTGTCCTCACTGCCTCCGCCTGTGCCACCATGCTCTCGTTCATTCTCGCACTGCTGTGTGCCGCGGTGGCAAATGCTCTACCAACCATCGAGGCAAAGGGTGCAAAGTTCTTCACCAGCGACGGCGACCAGTGGTATATCAAAGGTGAGCTTCGACTTGCTTTCAATGCTCCTCCCAAATCTGACTTCCTCCAGGCATTGCATACCAACTCACCGCCGATGACCCGCTTGCCCAAGGCGACCAATGCCATCTTGACGCCAGCTTGATGAAGAGCCTCGGAGCCAACGCCATTCGTGTATACCATGTGGATCCCACCGCCGACCACGACGCTTGCATGTCGGCATTCAGTGATGCCGGCATCTACGTCTTTCTGGATCTTGACACCTTCGACACATACGTCTTGCCAACCGACCCCATGTGGAACCAGACGCAAGTCGACGCTTACAGCAAGGTTATGGACGCTTTCCACAACTACGACAATGTGGCTGGCTTCTTCGTTGGAAATGAGGTTCTCAATGTTGGTGCAGACAGCAAGGCTGCTCCTTACGTCAAGGCTGCTGCTAGGGACATGAAAGCCTACAGGAACCGTAAGGGCTACCGCAAGATTCCTGTCGGATACTCCGCCACCGACAGCGGCGAGCTTCGGCCCAATCTGCAAAACTACTTGGCTTGCGGAGACAATGCCTCTGATGCTCTGGACTTCTTCAGCTTGAATGCATACGAGTGGTGTGGCGAATCTACTTACACTGTCAGCGGCTACTCTGCACTCCAGGCCAATGCCAGTCACTACAACATCCCCATCTTCTTCTCCGAGACTGGATGCCAGACTGTGCGACCGCGTACCTTTGGTGACCAGGCTGCCATCTTCGGACCTGAAATGTCGGGAACCTGGTCTGGTGCCATCATCTACGAGTGGATCGAAGAGACGAACAACTATGGCCTCATCTCGTACGGACCTACTGCGGACCCTACCGCCACCGATGCAGGTGTTGTTGCCGGCTACACAAGAACAGGCACACCGACCCCAATTTCACCAGACTTCGAGAACCTCAGAAGCGCCTGGGATGCCGTGTCGCCCTCCGGTGTCAAGAAGTCAGCATACAGTCCTTCTTTATCACCACCAGCATGTCCCAGCTTCACCAGCGGTCTCTGGAACATCAATGGCGCGGTGGCGTTGCCGACAGTGGGTCAAGAGTTCAATGCGGCAGTGTCATCGAGCTTCGCAGCTGGAGGCACATCAGGAACCAAATCCGGTCAAAGCAGCAGCGAGACTGAATCTGCGGCGGCTACGTCTTCTTCCGGAAGCTCGGCTGTGGATGTGAAGCATGGTTTCAGCAGCAGTGGCTGGAGCTTGACTTTTTGTGCGACGGCGATGCTGGGTGTGGGCATGATTGCGGTAATGTTGTAATGGAAGCGTATCGACATGTGCATTGGCATGAAGCATGAAACATGAAGCATGAGTGGAGTTTTCTTCTACTACTTGGCTTTGACTAACGATTAATGGCATGGAAGGGGTGGGATTGGGAGACTGTATATTGTGCTATAGAGACGAAAGTATAGTATTATATCGAGAGGTAAGTAGATGTATAGATACAGGGTATTACGTCTTTGTGCTATTTTACTAATCGTTATTCAAATGTTGCTTTCTTCTTTTAATTCCACGCTATGCTATCCTGTCTCCTAAAAATGCAATTCTAAGACCTATACTCCTTATTAAATACAAACTCTAATCTATCTCTAAAAAAGACCTACTAATTACTATACAAAATCAATAACCCTCTCCTTCGATAGCCTCCTCCTTAGTTTCCTATTTTCCTTTTATAATCTCGCAATTTCGACTAAATATTCTCCTATATAATAAGCTATAGCTCTAACCCTAGGTATATCTATTTTATAAACTATAATTTCCGGACTATCGAGACCGATATAGAAATATACTAGAAGATTCTAGGTGCTTGTTTTGTTAGTATTATAGAAGTTATAGCTATAAATTTAGCTAAGGTAGGTTGTGTTTTAGTTATTAGTAAAAGAGAAAGAAAAAGTTTATAGAAGGCATTTTACATGTTTTAATATATGGATTTGTTTCGTATAGTAAGATAGAGTGCTAGATAGTAAGATTTCTTATAGTCTTAGCAGGTTGTTGCGATCTGATCCCTAACCGACTACGAGAATGCTCGCTACGTTTCTATTAAGCAAGTCTTCTTCAAAGCCTCATAGGTCGGATTCTTGCTTGTCGTGGGTAGAATTTTAGTTATTAATTAGATGCTACTACTATGGCAGATGTCGTCGATATCATGGATTTTGATGAGGCTTGGCGGCACATGAATCGTTCGTCGCTCTGTGGAAGTGGAAGTGGTTGATCCGGGCCGTGCATCTGTTCATCACTGCGGAGGAGTATGCCCCTTCTCCTGTATCAACTCGTGCAATCTCTCCCGAATAAATACCTTCTTCATCTTCTTCCTCCAATCGTAGCCTACGTGCCACCGCGATGGAATCCTCAGACAGTAACAAGCGGCTCAAGTCATCGAGCGGAGCGCCAATCAGCACAACTCCATCTGGCGCAGCAAACTTGCCAGCGTATCAGCCGCCTCGGCCGATTGTTGGCGGTGGCAAGTAGGTCACACTCGGCATCTCCTTTGTTTGAAGCCCGGCAGCGATGCTCATCGCATATTACACGTGGGAAAGTGATGGGCAGTGATGAGTGATGGCGCAGCAAGCTTTCGCAGTGACAACGCGAGGCACGGCGTGAGAGGCTGGGCGCTTGCTTGAGCAAAGGTGATTGTATGCGATCAGCGGCTGCTCCCAGACTCGCTCTCACATGAAGAAGGCAGAAGGGTTCAGCAGCAGCAGCTCGAGGCAAGCACGAGGCAAGAACGTCAACGTCAGCAGCACCTGGCATCAGCATTCCTCGGATCGCTCACACCTTATATCGCAACCCTGCCCTGCCCATACGCCGTGCAATACCAATAACAGCTACCACTCCTGCTACAATAATGCCTCCCGAGCGCCGCTCAGCGCGCTCCGTCTCCAAAACCTCAGCCAAAGTCACAGTGCAGCCATACACCAGCGCTAACACCACATCCAGTCCAGGCACCTCACGACCCGGCGCGTCAATCTCGCGGCCAGCGAACGGTAAGACTTCGCTGCGACTCACTGTCAAAGCACCACCCAGCAAGCTGCGACAGGCAACTTCCGGCTCTGCCATTCCTCCCAACCCATACGCCGACACACCCAGCGAAAGCGATGCCACTCCAGCACCTCGCGCGGCAAGAAAGACTCGCAATCCTCGAACAGTTGTCGATCCAGACTCCGATGACCTCGACGATGACATGGAGGAGGATGCGGACGGAGAAGACGACGAGCATGCGGAAGGCGAATTGGACAACGATACAAGAGACAACGAAGACAGTGAAGACGATGCTGATGGGGAGGCAGACGACGATGAGGATGACATGCAAGTAGACCATCCTCCGCCGCCCGTAATCACCCAGAAACGAGCTCCGGGCAAGACCAAGCCAAACGTCACCGTGACTGCTCCTCCCGGAGGACCACTCAAGTCCGTAGAGGACAAGGAGATGGACGATGACGACGACGACGACGATGATGAGGAGTTGAGTGAGCTTGATTCGAACGAAGACGCCGAGGGTGAGGAAGAAGAGGAGGAAGAGGAAGAGGAAGGAGAGGAGGACGATAGTGACGACGATGACGAGAACTCCCGTAGCGCAACGCCAGATCTCTCGAAGCTCACGAAACGACAACGAGGTGGACTTGACGATTTTGGTGGAGAATTAATGTCTCTTTCCAACGAAGCTCAGAAGAAGAAACAATTGACCGAGGAAGAAAATGCGATGAGGCGTGCGGAAATGGCTCGTCGGAGGAAGAATCTCAGTGAGAAGCGGAATGAAGAGGAGAAGGTATGCTGATTTTTTTTTTTGCCCGCCCTTACTTGAGACTTGTTATCATACTGATCTTTTTTTTATCTAATTTTCAGATGGACACGATCAACAAACTCCTCTCCAAACCCGCACCGAAGCGACGCACTCGCGCGGAAATGGAAGCCGCTCGCGCTGCTGAGGAGACACCTGACCCAGAAGGCCACGATCCAAATGGTCCTGACCCGACATCTCTCCGATGGGTGAATCGACGTCAAGGCAGTTATGTGGTCGTCACGCAGCAGTGGTTGGAAAGTCCGTTCGGCGAGACCTTTGCGAAGCAAGTCAATCACAATAGACTTATTGAAGAAGTATCGTAGATGTCCAACCGAATGAAATGCAAATTCTTCGAAGCGTGTTGGGGGGGTATCGTGCTAAAGTCCAAGTCCAAAGACACACACACACACACACACACCAAGGGAACTTAACGAGGATTCTTTTTTGCGTCCCATCCTTCCATCACAAGCGAGAGAGAGAGAGAGTGTCGTCCGATTACTTAAATCTTCCTCGCGCACAATCGGTCATCACCAAAAAAAAAAGAGACAATCCTTATCCCATCCACCACCCCATCCACCTCATCATTGATTAGGTATCTTACCTATCTCACTCCTCCCCAACCCTCCCAGCACCCAAACAACCCTTCTTGTTCCCGCCCCCTTTCCTCACCATCATCGTCTGCCTCAACTGTCTCCTCCCCCGACTCCCATAATCTTCTTCTTCCTCAAGATTCTCTTTGTTTGGCATCATCGTATACGACAAAGCTGTCGTTGTAGAAGTAGAAGGATTGGTATTGTTGAAGCCGGAGGGTTTTCGACTGAGAAGGAGTTTTGCGGCGTAGGTGGAAGGTTTTTGACGTTTTAGCGCAGGAGGAGGTTCGGGGGGAGATGGGGTGGGGTGTTTTGTGGGGTTGGGGTTGGTTGTTGTGAAGTTGAAGTCGAAGTTTGAGAGTGGTGATGATGTTGTGGTGGGATTGTTGTTGGATTCGAGGGTTTGGAGGGCTTCTTCTGGTCCTCCTCCACCACCGCCGATTCCGATTGAGAGTTGTTGCATTGGGAGGGTTGGGGTAGAGTTTGGATCGGAGGAGGCGTTTGCGTTTGCGTTTGCGTTGGCTGGGAGTTCGGCGATGATGGTTTGAATGCTTTCTTGACTCATGCTCTTTCGAGCAGCGAGTGCGATGAATGATGGGGTAGAGTTGGACTTTATGAGACCGTTTCCATAACCTTCGACCATGATTTCTTTGTAGGAGGTTAGGGTGTTGCTTCGGGCGATGGTGGGTGAGATGGGCGAGACGATGCTGTTACAGTGGGAGGAGCGTACACTGCCTCGTCTTTGGGCGCGGGTAAGGCTGCCCATCATTGAGCGGTGCAGGGAACTGACGCCATTCATGAAAGACTCTCGTCGGCCCCGAGCACTGCTTCTTCGGAGTGGTGGTGCCATTGAGCTCAAACTCATGTCTGAACCTGATCTTGTGATGCTGTTCATGTTTGTGAAGTAGGCGTTGGCGTTGTCGGCCTCGCAATCTGGGTGGATAGAAATTCGGTCTTCTTCAGATGCCTTGCTCGTGTCGGGAAGCTCCACAGGCAGGTTTCGTTCAGCATCCTTGACCGGCGACTTGGGAATGTGGAAGACACTAGTATCATCCATCCATGGTGGAAATCTAGCAGAGAGGACACACAATGGGTATGATGGCGTGTCAGCATCTCGGACCTCCGGTGGAGCTCTTGTGATACTGATGAGAGTCTGCAGCATGCAGTATGCAAGCATGAATCGAACTTTGCGTGCTTCTGTGATGGTGGTCTTCTCCTCCAATTTAGACCGTTCGAAGCGCATGTAGTCTTGCACGAGTCCATTGTTCATGACTTCGAGCCTGTGTGAGTTAGTGGCCTTCTTCAAAGCCTGGGCTGGAGTTGTCACTGTCCTGGGCTCGGTGAAAGTAATGCGTCGGCCGAGCTTGAACGACCTTGATCCTCTCTGAGGGTCGACGGTCCGCTTTGAAGGTGCTTGCTCGGGCAGCAGCGGTAGAGGATGCGGCAAGTGGGTGTAGTGATGGCGTTCATCGAAGTTGTGCAAGTTTTGCATGACACAGACACCACCATCTGCACGGTTCTCTGCTCGATCATTTGACGATAAAGTGTCCGCCAAATAGTCGTAGAGGCTTCGGAAGTCGTTGTACATGCCTCGCCACAACCCCTTGTCCATTGATGCGTTCTCCTTCGGAGGCCAATAGCCGACCTTGTTGACATAGAACGAGTGCAGGGTACTCCTGTACAGATCCAGATGGTCTCTTAGTGGCTTCGACAGTCCGAGGTAGCCCAATCCAAGCTCCTCTTCCAGGAATGTACCAATACTCTTAATGGCTTGAGTTATGTGCTGGTCCATCTTCAAAGAAGCTGCGCGAAGCAATGCCTTGGACGTACTGCTCAGACTGAAGATCTCATCGCTTCGTTGCAACCGATGGTACATGCCTGCGCAATGTGAAAAGGCGTCGACCCACATGTCTTTGCTCTTCGTCTGTTCACAGAAATGCAGTGTTGCAAGAGCATAGTCGGGGTTTTCGGAGTAGGAAAGGTAGCCTTGCTCCTGACAGTACACTCGAAAGTCGGATGCAATCATGTCGCTCGGCTGCCAGAGTTGAAGTCGGCTCCAGAGACCAATCAAGGCTTTGCCCAAGCTCTCACCGACCAGCGGAGCGTCTAAGAGGTAGGCAAAGTAGTTTCGGGTGCTCAAGTGAAAGATGTGCGCCTCGTGCTTGGTAGCATGCGGCGGTGCGGAAATGTACAGCTCCACGCATTGCAGGGCGGCTTGATCGCTCGACACGGATCCGCCATATCCACTGTCAGAATGGTCGTTATCGCTGATCGCGGGGCTGGTAGGTTCAAATCTTTGCAGACAGTGTTGCAGGAGGTATCTGCTATTCGTCTGTTCGACAACTCTGAATGGAATTCTCAGACTGGGGCCTCTTTTGGACGAGTTGTAGGAGTAGAAGTGGATTGTACAATCGCCTTCTGTCGACCAGAGCTCAGGGTCCTGTCATTGAAGTTAAAACAGCAGGCAGCAATGCGGGGTTCATCACGTACCTTCCTGAGGCCATCCCAAGTCGACCTTGTTTTGTTGATGCCGTCATATCGATACACGCGACGGATGGTGCCAAATGACGAGGCCCTCGGCGCGTTGTCCGTCTGGATGGACCTCTCGTAAGAATATGGCCGGGCACGCATGGTCAAGAATTGATGAAGGGAACGTCCAGCGCTCCTTCCACGCCGAGCACAATGCCTGCTCTGTTCCAGCAGGATGGCTCAGCGAGAGGCCGCGCAGCATCAGATTCAGCAAAGACAGATGTGGTTGAGATCTCGGGGGCCATAGTCGTCGCTCGGAAGGATGGCGAGCACAGCAGATGGTTCATGCAGGCAGTCCCCGAAGCCGGGAGCACACCAGATCCACCCGTGATAAGTGGTCCCAACGACAGGAAGGGGTGCATTCCGAGGCGCTGATGCAGAACGGCCACCAGCGAACAGTATCCGAGGATCAAGATCTTGCGTATTGCGTCTTGGTCGAAGGAGATGCCACATCTGCACCAAAGCAGAGCTTTATCGACCGTCCCATACTGTAGTTCGGAGCAGAAACGTCATGGACCTGTACCTATCTCTTCGCATTGACTTTCAGCAATTCAGAAGCGCCAACGGCTAAGCCCTCGTGCGGCGTGCCTCTTGGATGATGTGATCCTGTCGGTTGCGGTGAACCTGAAACGGTAATCCAGCGTCGCTGCGCTTCACCGAAGAGGTTGGAGCAAAGCTAGTCTTGTCTGCTGTAACTTTGGTGCCCGCACATCTGCGTACGAAAGTCCTCCATCACCTCATCAGCCAGCCACAGCAGCACGTGTCTATCCGAGTCCGACCTCATCGACGACCTATACCTTTTCCATGCCCCGTTGCTGAAGTGATGTGTCAAGCTAGACGTCCTCCACTACACGTCAACAGCATTGCTATTTGATTATGCGTGGAATCATGGAGGAAGCTTACCTGGTACTAGTAGTCAATGCACCAACCACCACCACTCGGCTGCAAAGACAGTAAACAAACATGCCATGCAACCTCAAGTCATCGCAGGGCGAATGCGACGTCGAATCTGTCACAACTTCCAACACAATCCAACGATCATCCTCCTTCCCGCAATAGCGAGCCTTGCTTGCCCTGCGCCTTCTTCTTATCACGACCTTTGCGCTCTCCATCCTACCTTACCCTCTGGAAACGGTATTGTCGTTTCGGAGCTCCGAAAACTTCAACGGCTTCTGCGTGACAGACGATCTTCGACGCCGAGTCAAACATTCGGTTCGGAATCTGCTCTGCATACCTGCACCGTCTGCAAAATGCCGAAGAGGAAGGAGGCACGGCTCATCCGCCAACCTCTTTGGGAAAGTGCAAGCATAGGCCAACCTCTTCGGGAAAGTGCGAGCACAGTTGCGATATACCAACTGAGATAGAGCCCACCTTTCACTGGCTATCCTCTATGTGCATCTACAACGGCCGCAGGAACGATGTAGTTGAGATGCACTTTGTATCTCTTGCGGGCCGACAAAACAAAACACACCGCACTGCACTGCACTGCACGATATTCGCGCAGATAACGCATCACAAACATAATGCGAAGAGCTGCATCTCTGCAACAAGACCAATTGACCTTTCCAAGAGACACATCATCGGCCAGCCACGAGCAAGAAGACAGCAACAGAGCACGATTACTCGCAGCTACATTCTCCCCATATTATGACCGTAAGACTGACTATCGATGAAGATGAGCCGTAAGTTAACGTGAGCAGCACTCTGGTCCGGTTTGCCTCCAATGTATGTGTATGGGTCCTCGGCTTGGCAAAACCACTCGTGCACAAACAGCGGTCTGCCATGCCACCAGCTCTGCTGCGTCGACAGTTCTTGCATTTGCAGAACCGGGCATAGAATACTGCTTTGCGTCTGAGTCACAGGCAACGGAAACCCCCCGCTTCTCATCAAGTCTTGCTGCAATCTTGGACACCGGACCGGTAGAGCCTGATGAGCTTTTATCCGGCTTCCATCTACCTACGCACGTCCAGTTCGATAAGCTTCGAGAGGAAAGTTTGCGCCTTGTCATATGCAATGGGAAATTCTTCGTACGGCTAGGTCTCTTCACAGTTGCTGCAATTCTTCGCCTCTGCTTTGACCCGAATCTTTGCTTGTTCCCGATCTGTCGTCGTCCACAAGTTCTGATTTGAAAGTTTTTTTAATTGCTTTCTGTCGACGATGTCGATCTCTGCAACGGACATGTTGTAATCTCATCCGATCGTGCGGTCCAGCCTCCAGGAAAACAGCACATTTGCGGATCGACGCACCGCTTCATTCTGTGAAGATTGTCAGCGCTCATGATACACATGGCTTGGAAGGCGTGCCGTCGGTGATGATTTCTGAAGTCCTTCTGCTTGTCTCATCATCAACTCGTTCATAACCAAGACTTTTCCTTCTACCGTAACAAGAGGTTCTGTGTACTATACCCAAACGCCCGCCCTCTCCTCTGAAATTGGGTATCATAACACATGGAATGAAGAATGCAACACATCAACCAAAATCTCCCGAGTCATCACCATCAATCCGCAATCGCACTCTCATCCTCCGAAGATTTCTTCTCCTTCGCCGGCTCGCCATTCTCCTTCTTCTTACCTCCCAACCCAAGCATCTCTTTACCCTTGCTGAGCGCGCTCTGGAAGCTAGGTCTTCGATTCTTGCCCCCGTTTGATCCAGAGCTTGCTGTCCTCTCTTTCAACGCTCGTCGTTCTTTGGATTTCTCGCGAGCTTCTTGCGCTCCTGACTTGCCAAGAGTCGTCATATTCCCCTCACCACCACGACCCCAGTGGTAGGTCCCTTGCATGTCTTTGATATGGTGAGCTGGCGCTTCGACGTCTTGTGCTGCGCGCGTTTCGGCTGCGTTGGCGGGGTTGTTTTTGGCCTGGGATTTTGTGAGTAGGGTACGTTTCTAATGAATATCTTTACGCACCATGTTGCCTGAACCTCCACGTCCAGTGGTATACAAGCTAGACTTGATCGTCGGCGTCTTCAAGTCCTCTGCATCGAGCTTCGCTGGCGGCTTGTTATTGATATTTCCTGCGCCTCCGCGACCATGCGATCGTGCGGCCGCTGCTGGATCAGCAGTGACGCCGTTGCCGTTGCCGTTGCCGTTGCCGTTGCCATTAGAAGGTGGTTGTGCCATATCATGTGACTTTGTGTGCTCTGGTGCTGAGAGGCAAGCAAGTGCACGAAGAAATTGCGAAGAGGAATTACCAGACGGATTCAAGGAAAAAGTTTGAAAGGCTGGTGATGAATGAATGAAAGAAAAAGTCTTCACTTTCCAAGAGACACTATGAGTGCCCTCGTGATCCTCTGCATTCTGCGTCCGAGCCCGAGGCCAGAGCGGGCACGTTTTGGTCCGCTTCGCTTCGCACTTCTTTCGCCAAGGCCAAGAGGAGAGGAGACGGTTTGTACCAGTTTTTCATTACGCAATCGAAATTGTTCGCCTGGAGAGCATGTCTTCACGTGCTGTGATCTTCTGCTGTCTTTCGCTGGAATTCGATGGTTGAGAGTTGGGAGACAATGATATACAGATCTATGCATTTGTATGGCGATGGAGGTGCGAGTGAAGATGAGGTCGCATAAGTGAGAGAAGTTGCGATAAGAGACACTCGCGATAGCCTTTTGATTGGCCAGTGTTGGGCTCAGGGACCCGCCGTGGGATGAATGTTTGCTGGCGTCTCTGTCTCGGCCTGATCAATCCCAGAACAACAACCAAAGTGACCCGCACTGATGATGAGTGTTTCAACCATGGCGGCTGAGGCTGCAACGCGCTCATTGATGCCCCGTCTGGCTTGGACTGCAAGCAGCGTGCAGCCCTCAGCAGGATTTGCATTTGCTCAGCATGCCACCACCCAGTGGAGCTCCCAGACCCCTCCGAAACGAACGACAGCGACAGCAGCTTTTGCGAGACACAACTGGGCAGAAAGACGATTAGCACCTCGACCGTCCTCAACCATCAGCCATGCCGCCAAACGAGCCTTCTCTGCAACCCCTCCCCTCGCAAAAGACCACCACTTCGACACGCTCAAATTCGTCCAACGCCTCCAACAAGAAGGCTTCACCGAAGAACAAGCCGTCGCCATGATGAAAGTCCTCGGCGACGTAATCGAAGAATCCATCCAAAACCTCACCCGCACAATGGTCCTCCGCGAAGACCAAGAAAAAGCCACCTACACGCAAAAAGTCGATTTCGCCAAACTCCGCTCCGAACTCCTGAGCGCCGATAGCACGGAAAGCAGTCTCACACGCGCCAGTCACGAACGTTTGTCGAACGAAGTCACGAAACTGAATAATCGCTTACGAGATGAGATTTCGCGCACGCAGGCGAGTGTGCGGTTGGATTTGAATTTGGAGAAGGGCAGGATTCGCGAGGAGGCGAATAGTCAGGATTTGAAAATTAAGGAGACGGAGACCAGGATTGAGCAGGAGAGTGCGGCGCTTAGGGAGAGGTTGGAGGCGGTGAAGTTTAGTACTTTGCAGTGGTTGATGGGGGTTTGTACCGGTACCGCGGCGATTATTCTGGGTGTTTGGAGGTTGTTGATGTGAGGAAGGAAAGAAAGAAAGAGGAGAATTTCTACACCTCATCTTCTTTGCACGAGGTTTCGAATAACTATGGAAAAGTGAGTCCACCCTTTTTTCGCACCTCGTTAACACCATCGGTTCGATTGATGAAATATGTCTTGGAGACCAAATGATGTTCATGATTTGAATATGCACATATCTATCAACCCTCCCTCTGAATCTGCAACCTTATACCTGCGCACAGATATAATGAAGCTCGATTCCGAGCCAAAAGCTGATCTAGATTAGCGAAGAGCAGATTCCGATCAAGACTCGACCGACCTACGTTATTTGCCAATTTGGCGCGTAGTCTTGATGACTACCTACTGGCATTGTGACGTAGCATATTATAGTGTCTGCCATATTGCTATTGAAGCGGTTAAATGAGTGTTCACAGGCATAAAATCTGCCTCCATCTGCGGAAAGCATACTGCGGGAAGCTGGAAGTAGAGAGCACAAACTGTCGTATTAAAGACTGTTCGGTTCTCTTGTCCACACAATTGTCACTACCAAGTTAGGCCTCGCAGTCTCCATTCGAACGAAGATTATGACCTCTATAAAGAACTCAAGCAGGCAGTTGCAGATCTACGAATCATAACTGAGTCAAACGTCTCTACATCTTGCCCTATCTCTCACAATCCTTGTTCGGCGTATGGTTCCTGCATACATAATTGTATTAGATAAGCCGAGTCTTGCGCCTGCACTCTGCGCGGGGTGGAATTAATGACACCTGGTATGTTACTCGACATCATTTTTTTTTCCAATACTCGCCATCACGTTCGCTACAGTAAATTGCTACGTGGTCCCAAACTCCATTAGTTCAATCCGCTATTTCGCCGTCGCCACACGCCACCTCGCATGAGATGATAAAAGTGGAAGCTTCCTGAAAATCGAGCGAGGGATTGAAGAGTTGCGGCAGTCGGGAGTCATCTGTCACAGTCAGACAATATGGAGAATGCGTATGTGCGGTCACCAGATGAGGTGTTGGAGTATTTCAACGTCTCAGAACAGACTGGGCTCTCCGACAGCGCAGTCGCGGCCGCGAGACAAAAGTATGGAAAGAATGGTATGCTAGAACGAGGATATACTTCCGCGAACTCGTGGCTAACAAGGAACAGCTATCCCGGAAGATCCTCCTACGCCATTATGGGAACTGGTTCTCGAGCAATTCAAGGACCAGCTAGTCATAATCCTCCTCGCATCCGCCGCGATATCGTTCGTACTTGCGCTATTCGAAGAGGAGGATGGATGGACTGCATTCGTCGACCCTGTTGTCATTCTCACGATTCTCATCTTGAACGCGATCGTTGGCGTGAGTCAAGAAAGCTCTGCAGAGAAGGCGATTGCGGCACTGCAAGAGTACAGCGCGAACACGGCCAAAGTCATTCGAAATGGTAAAATCCGGACTGTCAAGGCTGAAGAATTGGTTCCCGGAGACATCGTTGATGTGGCTGTGGGCAATCAAATTCCGGCAGACTGTAGAGTCCTGAGCATCTACAGCAACAGCTTCCGCATCGATCAAAGTATCCTGACTGGAGAGAGTGAGAGTGTTGCCAAGGATACTGTGGCTGTTAAGGATGAGCAGGCGGTCAAGCAAGATCAGATCAACATGCTGTTTTCGGGCACAACTGTGGTCACTGGACATGCGCATGCTATTGTGGTGCTTACTGGAACGAACACTGCAATCGGCGACATCCACGAGAGCATCACTTCTCAGATCTCCCAGCCCACGCCTCTTAAGGAGAAGCTCAACGATTTTGGTGATATGCTCGCCAAGGTCATCTCTGGTATTTGCATTCTAGTCTGGTTGATTAATATTCGGCACTTCAACGACCCATCACACGGAAACTCGTGGACCAAAGGAGCGATCTACTACCTCAAGATTGCCGTGTCGCTCGGTGTTGCTGCAATTCCCGAGGGTCTCGCAGTGGTCATTACTACCTGTCTCGCACTCGGAACAAGAACCATGGCCAAGAAGAATGCGATTGTGCGAAGCTTGCCATCAGTGGAGACTTTAGGTAGCTGCAGCGTGATCTGCTCCGACAAGACCGGCACCTTGACCACCAACCAGATGAGCGTCAGCAGAATCGTGTACATCAATGATTCGCAGTCCGGGCTGGAAGAGCTTGAAGTGGAGGGAACAAGCTTCACACCAGAGGGCATTGTCACCAAAGGCGAGAAGGTGATCGAGTTTCCAGCGGCTTCCTCGAAGACGATCGCTCAAATGATCGAGGTTGCTGCGGTATGCAACGATGCAAAGCTCGCTTACGACAGCAAGACCAGCGCTTTCCTCAATGTAGGAGAGCCGACCGAGGGCGCCCTTCGAGTCTTGGCAGAGAAGGTTGGAACACCAGACAGCTCGTACAACGCTCAAAGAGGCAGTCTCAAAGCAGAGCAAAAGCGGGACTTCGCAAGCAACTACTACGACAGCAAGGCCAAGAAGTTGAGAACATATGAGTTTTCGCGTGACCGAAAGAGCATGTCCGTACTCGTCAACAGCGGCAGCACTCAACGACTTCTCGTGAAGGGAGCTCCGGAATCGATTATTGAGCGATGCACACACTGTCTGGTCGGAAGTGATGGCAGGCAGGCCCAGCTTTCTGCCAAATTCGGCTCTCTACTCCAGAAGGAAGTCCAAGACCTGGCGAATCGTGGCCTGCGCGTTATCGCTCTGGCTAGTGTCAACAACATTAGGAATCCATTGACCAAGACTGCAAAGACATCGAAGGAATACAACGAACTTGAGCAGGGCATGACTCTGCTTGGCCTCGTTGGCATGCTTGATCCTCCTCGTCCTGAAGTCGCAGAGGCTATTGCCAAATGTCGTAACGCCGGCATTCGAGTTGTGGTCATCACTGGTGACAACCCGACCACCGCTGAGACAATTTGCAGACAAATTGGTATCTTTGGCGAGCATGAGGATCTCACAGGCAAGAGCTTCACTGGCCGGAAATTCGATGAACTCAGTGAGGACGACAAGCTCAAAGCTGCCAAGACCGCTTCGCTCTTCTCTCGTGTCGAGCCAGGTCACAAGTCTAAGCTTGTAGATCTCCTCCAGTCTGCTGGCGAGGTTGTCGCCATGACCGGCGATGGCGTGAACGATGCACCAGCCTTGAAGAAGAGTGATATCGGTGTTGCCATGGGCTCAGGTACTGATGTCGCCAAACTCGCCGCTGACATGGTCCTGGCCGACGACAACTTCGCAACGATAGAGACGGCTGTCGAAGAAGGCCGCAGCATCTACAATAACACCCAGCAGTTCATCCGATACCTCATCTCGTCCAATATTGGCGAGGTCGTGTCGATCTTCTTGACAGCAGCTTTGGGCATGCCCGAAGCTCTAATTCCCGTTCAACTTCTCTGGGTCAACCTTGTCACCGATGGTCTTCCTGCCACAGCTTTATCCTTCAACCCGAAAGACCACGACGTGATGAAGCGCCCGCCAAGAAAGAGAGACGAGCCGCTTGTCGGTGGCTGGCTGTTCTTCCGCTACATGGTAATAGGAACCTATGTGGGCCTAGCCACTGTCGGAGGTTATGCTTGGTGGTTTATGTTTTACGAACATGGCCCGCAAATCTCCTTCTACCAGATCGTAAGTCACCTCTGCCTTCATGATCGACTGACCTATTATTGACACTCGTTTGCAGACCCACTTCCATCGCTGCTCGACCTCATTCCCACAGATTGGCTGCCAGATGTTCTCCAACGAGTCCGCCAAGACGGCTAGTACCGTATCACTCTCGATTCTCGTGGTCATCGAGATGCTCAACGCCATGAACGCTCTCTCATCCTCGGAGTCTCTCCTCACTCTACCAGTCTGGCGCAATATGGTCCTCATCTACGCCATCACGTTGTCCATGGTCCTGCACTTTACCCTCCTATACACCCCGATCCTACAAAGTATCTTCGAAATCGTGCCACTGGGTTGGGACGAATGGAAGATCGTGCTGGCGTGGAGTGCGCCCATCATCGTTATCGACGAAGTCCTCAAATTCTTGGAAAGAGCTTTTTTCATGGAGACGACGGAGATTGCGAAGAGGAGCAGTAGTGGAAGGGTTAAGAAGATTGATTGAGTGTGCAAAAGAGGACCTGGATGGCACCTGATCGTTTCGGTCATATCGGTTGATGAATACTCTGAGGGTCTAAGATTCACGTCTGTCGATTCTTGTCTAGAAATAGAGTAGAAAGAAATAACAATTCCTATGCGAACTCGACGTCTTGAAAGCCTCGCTAGACTCGTGATCGCCGACGGAAACTTTGGACTTATATTGAGAGTGGGCTTGAGTGATCTGATTCCCCTCAACACTCTGCATATTCAGATCCTGGACATAGATGTTATGAGGAGGGCAAGAAAGAACTGGCTTGGTTGAAGCTTTACTTCACCTGAAGACTTGGTTGTTTGGGGCACGCTGCCGGACTCCGAACACTGTCCGGCCTGAGAAGGTGTTGTGAAAGACCAAACAATAGTTCATAATGCTATAGCTGAATCCTGAGAGAACGCTCAAAACGCCCGCTCCGCTTCCGCTAAAGCCGCCAAAGGATTTGCATTCACGCCGAACTGCTCCGCTCAAACAAAAGGTTTCTTTTCACCAGCGTGCGATGCTGACGGATTTTCGGAACGTTTGCAAAATCGAGATCGAGCTTTGCACACATCTCGACAGATTTTCTCCTGCTCTTGAATAAAGCTTTCCAGAGCCCGATCCACAGCTTCTGTGTCCAGAACTGGGAAATTCCACGAGGAGTGTTCGGTGGAGTTATCGCCCTCGCTTATCACCTGGGGCGATGGGAAATCTTCACTAGTTGTCGCTACGGGGAACATTATTATGAGGTCTAGATTACCACTCGGTTTCTGCGGATTCGTGTGTTAGTTTTATTGTAGGGAGGGAGTGAGGGTCGTACTGAGTACCTGCCTTCGTTTAGGTAGTCTAAAGAGGGTAAGTAGTAGTTGACTGTGTTCCAGAACTTCTGAACTTGGTCGCGAATGCTTGTTGTCGCTTCTGCGATTGTCATTGAGGGGGATTTCTTTGGTGGATGCGAGGTTGGCTTTTTTGGTGTCTGCTTTTCCGTATCAGCCTGCATGTTCGTAGAACAGCGTCAATTTGGCTGAGGCGTTGGGAGACGTACGGCAATGTCACGCAGCACTTCGTGGGGACTTGGTGGTAGTGTCCAGGTGACTTGTTTGCTTGGTCTAAGATCTTGTCCTGATGTTTAAAAAGCTCTGTCTTTTGAGTACAATGTCTCAGGCCGAGCAAGAATCTTGGCAATAATGGGTCTGTCTAATGTTTAAAGGCACTCTCACACATTGATGCTGAGATGTTTCACTTCCTTGGACGCCTACTGATCCTCGCACATCGGAAGCATGCGCATACCGGAAGAGGCGATCGAGCAAAATGAGCGATATATTTGCAGATGCACGTGGGCCAGACGTGGCGTCTGCGGTATGGATCCGAATGCCGAATTGGGCCAAGAGAAGCGTGGAGATGGCTCAGATTAAGAAAATGTTGCCATTACTGCAGGTGCTTGTGCCATGCACATAATCCCAGAATCCATAGTGACAGGGATTGGAAGATGCGATCGTGCTACTGTGATGAGCCTTGCTGGAATGGCGGTTGTCTGATCAATCCCCGGCCATTGTCGAATTCGAGATCGGACTTGCGGAGGAGACCTTGTTGCCCTCCCTAAATTCTCAAGAATAGCTTGTCCTGCGAAGCGTACGCCCATTCCTGAGTCCTAAATATCAGGATCTGAGCGTTGATGCCGAAGAAGAGAAGGATTAATGTCAACTGTGAAGAATAGGAAGAGAAGTATCCTTGCTGCGTGCCGTCCCGTTAGCCGCCAGAGCACAGACCTTGAATCTTATGGCGTACCTGCAGTAGAGGTGTCAAAGTGTTAGCAACGTGTCTTGTTGCTAACGTTGCTAACAGTGTTAGTAACCGTAGATAACGATAAGTTAGTGTTGCCAACAATAGGGCTATAAGACCCTAACCTAATAAGGAAGCTTATAGTTATTAAGGTAGCTATTAGTACTATACTAGCTTATAAAGACTATAGAAGATATAGACTAATATATAGACTAATTCTTGCTATAGATACACTCAATTAAGCTTAACTAAACCGTAGCCGGTTAAGCTCTTGTCTATACGCCTCTACGCCTAGATAGTTACTATAGGTCTTAGGCTATTACTATCCTTATAATAGCTATAAGTAGACAACTAGAGGGTTATAGAAGCTAGAAGCCTAACTATCTAGTAGTTTGAAGAAGGGCGAGTATAGCGGCTATTACGATCTAGTTAGAGTTGGAAATATAAAGATCTCTTTATAATTAATAGTATTGTCTTCCTTATACTTAAGCTCTTACTTACTAATACTAGTACTATAGATATTAAACATCTCTTTAAGGTTAGGTAGGTATAGATATCGAGGGTCGCTCGGAGGTAGGTAGTAGTCCTTTATTACCGCCTCTTCGAAGGCTAATAGTGCGTCTAATTCCGCCTTACGGACCTCCTTCTTAGTTACTAGCTATCGCTACTATATCTCTCGCAACTTAGCTTTGCGCTGTCTACGTATTACCTCTTCTGCTAGTCTTCTACGCAAGGCGCGGCTATTTATATAAATATAGGTGCAGTCGTTAGTGCGAGTCGCTAATAGCTTAGAGCGATAGTCGTTCTAGATAAAGTTTATAGCGCTAAACGCTCGCTCGGAGGGCACTAAGTTAGCAGGTGTTCGGTATAGGCGGAGCGCAACTTCTACGATAAGAGGCGCTTTGCGAGATATATAGTCCTAATAGGCAGTGATATTACTACGCTTACGGTAGCGGTTAAGCTTATTGCCGATAGTATAGAAGCGAGCGGTTGCCTCTCGAAATTCGATGAATTCGTCGTTAAACTAGAGATAGCGATCGTAGGTCGATATATCGCTTTCTTCGTACTTAAAATAGCGCTTAAAGAAGCTAATCCGAGACTCTTTCTCGTTATCGCTATATTCTCGTAAAACCGCCGGCTTATTAATACTAAGAGAGTATACTGCCTAGTAAACAGGTTGTATCTACTTTAAGAACCGTAGATCGAACAGTAATAGTAGTTTACTCTCGTAAGGCAGGTACGCCTACGCAATTAAGCGCCGTAGCTGCTGCTAGCGAGGCATAATATCGCTAACTCGAGATGTATCGCTCTCACTAATTAGGCGTGCCTCGTTAATAAGCTAAAGGAGCGTATAAAGGCTCTATATCCGGCTCTAGAAGAAAGGCGAGTTAATAGTGTTAAGCGCCGTAGAAGCACCCTTTACGAGCCTACCGTTACTGCCTCTAAAGAGCCGTTTAGCTATTATCCGCGCGCACTCTTAAAGGACACTTGTTGCGACAAACAGGCTATATACTGCGGCATAATATATGCCCTAGCGAGTAAGGCAGGCGATAGCGAAGGCTCTTAATATCTTATTATTGTCCTTAGCAAATACCTTAAGAATATTCTAACTCTTCTTTAATCTCTTAAATATGCTAATTATATAGCTAGCGGCGCGTAGAGTGTCGGTATAATAAGGCAAGTGCGACTTCTTGTTATAGTCCGCCTAGTTACCTACAAATAGCTAAATACCGTGCGAGTCGCAGAAGATATAGATTACATGCTTAGTAAGCGGATTCTCGGCGAGTCGATTATGTATAGCTCTTATAGTCGAACAGGTATCGGTTTAGAGGCTATTCTAGCGATTAAGGTCGCTATTAACGAAGGGCATTACCTAGTCGGTGACCTGCCTCGCGAGGGTTACGGCATTAGCGTTAGAGTCCTTTATATCGAGTAGTTAGTAGAAGAACGAGCCGGAGGGTGTATTTGCTAACAGGTTGTAGAAGCGACTTCTACCGCGACTCTTACTCTCGTTAGCACTAAAGTTAAGGTCTCGTTACGCGTCAAATATAGCTTAAACTTCCTTCTCGAGGTCCTAGCGCACTTCGGGGATTAATAATACGACCTTCTTACGGCCTAGTAGGTTATAGTTAGTATTAAACTTGTAGAAGACCTCCTTCTACTTTAGATAATGCCTCGTATCTATCTTATTAAACAGCCTACTACTAAACAATAGCGCCTTCGTTATAGCGAGATCGCGGTCTGCTTTTAGCTTAGAACGGCTCCAATTAAGCCTTCGCTACCTCGTTAGTAGCGCTTCGTCCTTATCTTCCGGATAAGAGCGCTTATAGTCTTAATATTGCTAATACTTCCGTAGGTGCTTCTGCTTACGCTCGAGACTATTATCCGGCACCGTTCCTTTACTACTTTAATACTAGATATAGCGGACAAACTTGCCTCTATTATCGGTCTCGATTAGGTAGAAGTTAAGAGTGTCGGTATGCTTTAGAGGTAGCATTTTTTAAACCTAGAATTTTAGGATTCGTAGAATTGCTAGAAATAATAAAAACAGAGGATCTAATAGACTAAATAGGTAGTAAAAACACAAACAATACTCTCTCGGTAGCCTCTATCGAATTCTTAAGTTTCCGGCTAATTAGACAATATTAGTACGAACACCTTCTGCTATAACCCTATAGTTGTTTAGTAACCCTAAGCGAGGCTGTATCCTAAGCAACTACCCTCTCGGAAGAGCTACGGAAGCGCTCTATACACTAAACTATACCAATTTAAGCTTATTCGGATCGTAAGAGGTAGATTAATAAGGGACAGTATATCCGAAGAGGTCTATATAGCACTATAGCAGTATTCTACAAAGCTACCAACTTCTTACTAGTATAAGATAAGGTCTTATCTAGAGCCTAAGGCACAGGATAGCAACAGCAACGGTTAGCAACAGTGATATTGTTACTAACGTTGGTATCCGGCCTCAAAGTGTTACTAACGACACCCCTAACCTGCAGCACATATCCATCCTCTCTGATGACATCTCCATCGATACATTGAAAATCACCACCGATGTCCAATCAGCCAGCAGGAGAAAGTGAAACCGAAGACTCAGAATGGAAGAAAAGCAGCGCTAGGTTCACCAGGTCCGTCTGTCCATTCCCACATTCTCCAATCGCCAAGTTGCATCCTCCCTCACTAACCGACAAGAATCACAGCAAGCGGCACAGCGAATACTTCGACCCGTGTCAAGAAGCCGCAGATCGAAGTTTGAAATGTCTGAGAAGGAATGCAGGGGATCGGGCCATGTGTGCGGACTACTTCGAGTACGTGGGGTCCTTTAGACGCGGACTGACTTTTCCCACTGACGTTTACTTTTTTCCCCTCAGTGCTTACAAGGCGTGCAAGAAACAATGGGTATGATAGTCAACATGTTTGTGCCGTGGAGGATTGTACTGATGGCTCGCAGATGGCGGAGATGGCGGAGCAGAAACGAAGAGAGGGCAAGGGTTGGTTTTCGTAATGGCCTGCTGCTTACACGAAATTGTTATATGATGCATTGATACCCGGCGCTTTCTCGTATAGCTTCGTTTCCACCGTGGTAGTGTTCGGGCTTGGAATTTCTGTTGAGAGTGCCTTCACGCGCTCCGGGAGCGACTCTGCTTCAATGGGCGTTCTGCAAAGGGAATCCTGTGCGAGTTCTGGCTCAATCCGGTGCTCTCCGACCTCGCGAATGCTCCCTCCCCAAGGCGATGTGACCGTATGACTGGAAGCAGGCAAAGTCGTGAAAGGATCATCGAATAAACTCGTCTCAATCATCATGGTCTTATCAACAAAATGTCCGGCGCCAACCAATATCTAGCTGAGCATGCGCTTAACACCAAAACCATACGAAAGCCTAGAATCAGAAGCATCCTCTAACAACAAGCAACCGCTATCCATTATCAATCATAAATCTCCCTCCGTAATAATCGCCCCAAAATCCTTCCTCACCCTCAAATCCCCCCAACCCTCGACATTCTCAATCACAAGCCCCTTCTCATTCGCCAAATGCAACAAGCAAATGAAACCAAACGAAGTACTGATATCCTGCATTTGTTGTTTGGGGTAGACGTGTTGCAGATTATTCATGATGTCGGTGAACTTGAGTTCGGACTGTTCGTCAACTGAAAGAGAAGGAATTTGAGGTCTGGAGGAAGGAGTTTCGGGAGGTGGTGGCCTGGAATAAATGTCAGCGGTCAATGTTGGTGGGAGTGGGAGTGAAGATGTGATGACTACTGACCTCTTTTCGTAGCCGATTCCTTTCCACATCTCTTCCTTAAGTCTTCGGACATCGACTTTCTTTGCGACACGCGCGTATTGGACGTATTCTGGTCTCATTCGTCTGGATTGTGCTACGAGGTTTGCGCCGAATGCTTCACCTGTGCCGGTCTCCGTGGGGCCTGCGACGGAGTCTATGCCACCGCCAGTAGGTCCTGCGGCATCGATCTCGTCTGCACCCGGTGAGAAGTGGTCTCGCGCGTCTGCGAAGTCATCGTCATCGTCGTCCATTGCTCCGGCCATGGGGAGGTTGTCGTCTTGGAAGAAATTCGCATCGTAGTCACCCTGCACAGCGTCGTCGACATCAGGACGAGCACCCATGTCCGCGTCGTGCGATGCCCAGTATGCCTCGTCTATTTCCTCGTTCATGAGCGGCGGCGGTTGTCGGCTCGTGCCTCCAGGTCTTCGGGCACCAAGTTTGGCTTTCGGTTTTAGGAAGAGCTTCAGGAGATCTTTGGAATTGAAATGCTTGTCGTCTGGTAAAAGGTTCCGACTTCGACTCTTCCATTCTTTCTTGGGCAGGCATATATTGGAGTTGTTCGGCGCTGATGTGTAGAGGATGTTTGCAAGTTCCTGCGACATGGGTGCAGCGAAGTCAATCTCGAACGGTTCTTTTTCCTTTCGCGGTTTGGTCACCTTCTCCTTGTTGGCTTCTTTTATCCGTGCGATCTTCCAGTGCTCTGGTCCAGCCCAATTCTTCTGTAATGCGTTGTCAAAGTAATTGAGAATGTTTTCTTGTTCATCGCCTGGTCTATGTTGGAGAGTCACACCGTATGACTTGCTCGTGGAGTCAAAGACGCCAACCTCCTCTCCTGCAACTTCTTCTCCTGCATCAGCGCCACCTGAAACATCGTATACACGCATTTGAGGATGTAGCGCCGCATCTCTGGCCCAAGCCTCACCCCCTTCACCGAAGCCGACATCTGCGGGCATGTCAAAGAGTGGTGCGGCATCATCGTCGTCCATACCAAACGCCGCTGTCTGATCATTGAGGTTGATGCCTGTCTGATCGACATGCTCGTCATCTTTCTCGGAATCAGCGTGATCATCTCGCCAATTTTCAGGCGCCTTCAAGAATGGTAAATCCAGAGAGCCATCACCGCCGCCAAGCTCGAAAGTCTTCAACGATGGACATATGTCGTTCGCGTCAAGTATATCCAGATTTGGGAAGAATCGAGCGCCGAGACCAGCCACATCGACAGGTCCGTCGTCTGGCAAAATCTCTGCCTCCTCTTTCTTTTCCTCTTCAGACTCGCCCTCGGGCTCCATACTGTCGCGTCTTGTCTCTTCTGCGGCTGCGGCTGCGTCTGCTGCATCGTCGCTGCTGTCGAAAACGATGCGACCTGTGCTGTCGATTGAGAGGTGATTCATGAGAAGCCCCTTCGCTCCACCCTCATCAAAATCTGCTGCAGCTTTCTTGAAGAGTGGATCTACGGAAAACTCCAGCTCCATCTTCTTCAGCTTCAGCTGATCGAAAGAGCCCACGAGTGTGGCTTCTGCTGATCGCGCCGACTTCTTCTTGCTCTTCTTCTTTTGCCCGTCTTCGCCGTCTTCCTCCTCATCACCTTCCTCGCCGCCTTCTTCTGCGTCGCCGCCTTTTCGCTTTTTGTTCCCGCTATCTGCCAGACCACTCAGAAGCTTTCCGGTCTCTGTCGCCACGCTGTCCACTCGACTCGTATAGATCTTCACGCAACCGTCTAATGTGCAGCTCGCTTTCTGAAAGTTGACACCATCACCTTCCTTCAATAGGCTCATATCATGAAAGTAATCGATCAGGGCAAAGTTCCAAGAATTGGCGGCATTGATTTTGTTGTCTGTGGCCATCTTCATCCACTCCTCGAAGTTGGCCAGAATGGGGACACGCTTCATAGGCGTGACATGCTCGCCTCGCACTCCGTACAGATCATCGTCCTGTGAGGGTGTCGCGGGACCGTCTTCGCCCACTCCCAGCGACCGTCGTTTCCGCTGCGGCGTTGCAGCTGCCTTGATCTGGCTCATCTGGCTTGAGTGCGCCGCCTGTCGCGACTTCAGCCTCTTGGCCTTCTCCTCCTTGTCGTCGTTCAGCGGGATGTGTAGCGTCTTGACGGGAGACGCGAAGCTCGCTGACGATGAGCCGCCGCCGGTCGCGCGCACTCGAGGCATTATCCGTGGTCGGTGCAGGAAGGGAAAGGAAGTCGAAGGTGTGCCGCAGTGGTGGAGCTGGTTATTCAATGTGCATCGAGCGTTGCCGAACCTGCGTCGCGATGTGTTTCGGCGTTTGTTTATCGACTGCTGCTCTTCTGGGCTAGCGTGAATTTATGCTTTCGCCGCATCCTCGGCGAGCAAGCCACGCCACGACACGACCGACGTCATCAGTGGCTGTGCAGCTGGCCTTGCCTCCATCTTGCTTGCTTGCGTGCCTTCACACTTGAAGCAGTCCAGTGCATCAGGTCTCCCTTCACTACTCTGCCACCAAGCAAGCTTTGGCCGCATGCCAAGGCGCAGCAGGCATTTCGATCCAGGCAGGCGTTGATGAGCATTTTCGCCGCCGCATCGCGATGCTCGCCGCATACAAGATTGTCCGACAGCGTTAGCCATACTTCTATCACATGCAGAATGCCCCTCGAATGGCTCACTCACCGCTCCGCCCGGACAGCATGGCGTTGGCGTCGGCGTCGACATCCAGAGCAGGTCTGAGGGCCAGACGTCCTCCATACCGTGCGGCCAGGGCTTTCTACCTCACCGTATTCATCCTCGCCGTATTCGCGGCATATTCCATCTTCAGCCGTGACTACTTCGAAGCTTCTCCGCAGCATCAGCTCCACGCACGCCACCTCTCCCCACACCCCATATCTGCCCTGAGCGACGATGAAGAGTGTAGACTGGTGCACAAGCGCCAGCACCAGGACCAATGCGCCTACATCAAGGAACATTGTCCCGCCGATGAGGGCGGCTTCACCGCGTACTTGGACCTCTACTACTGCCGCCTGGCGAATGCCAAGCCAGTCGCATTTCTGATTCTCATCTGCTGGCTCGGACTGCTCTTCAGCACCATCGGAATCGCCGCGTCCGACTTCTTTTGCATAGACCTGAGTACGATTGCTGCTTTCCTGGGCTTGAGTGAGAGCATGGCGGGAGTTACTTTTCTGGCATTCGGCAATGGCAGCCCGGATGTTTTCTCGACATTCGCGGCTATGAGTACGAACAGTGGCAGTCTCGCAGTTGGAGAGCTGTTTGGAGCGGCAGGATTTATCACAGCAGTTGTGAGTGGGAGCATGGCGTTGATCCGGCCTTTCCATGTTGCTAAGAAGAGCTTTGTGAGAGACGTCGCATTCTTCATCGTTGCGGCAGCATTCAGCATGGTGTTCTTGTGGGATGGTAGACTTAATTTCTGGGAATGTGTGGCCATGGTGATTTACTACATCGTATACGTATGCTTTGTGGTCGCCTGGCATTGGTGGCTTGCACGAAGGAGACGGCGAAGGGAAAAGGAAGCCGCTGCAAGAGGCCATTTCTTACAGCCTGAAGACGAGATCGAAGCCGAGGAAGAGTACCGTGACGATCCCGAGGAGCCGCCTGACCCAAGACGTCCGAGCATTTCGAGGGGTGTATCGCGTGAAGACTGGTCCGCACTAGAAAGTGGTGGCGACGCTAACTCTCCATACGTTGATGGTGGCGACGAGGACGATGAGGAGGCGGCAAGAGATCGATGGATGAGTGAGCTCGCCAGCAACATGCGACTTACGAGGCCCACCCGTTCGAGGAAGAATACTGTGACCCCTGTCCGGCCCTCGCTTGTTGGTGCGCTGGAGTTCCAAGCAGTTCTCAAATCGCTGCAGAAGTCTCGCAATCATCAGACCATACCTATGGACTCGCGACGCTATTCCGATGACCCGACATATACCACTGCTCAGCTTCAAGATCAACTTTCCTCTCTGTCCGATCCAGCAGCTAGACCGCCCTTCGAAGTCCACGTCATTGATGAGAGCACAACTCCCGAATTGGAGCGACGACCTGACACAGATCAAGGTCCCTTATCTGCACCGCTCGAAAGAGCCCAAACACGCAACAAGGCCATGTCAGCAAATGACGCTGCGTCACTGCAGATCGATCCAAAATTGCAACGCCCGACGCCAGTACTATCAGAAGAGAACCTGATAGACCTTGCTGAAGAGGGAGCAGGACCTGGGCAGGATGATGTACGACTGGGTGTTTCATCTTCTGGCGGTCAGCAATACCCGAGATCGCCAACTCTCCGAGTAGAGCCAGCCACGCCCCGACGAGAAGCACCTATTCAACGGAGCCGCTCTCCGACAGCGACCACTTCCGGCTCAATACCAAGCTCAGCATTACTAGCGCCTCCGAATACTGGACAATTTCCAAGACAATCTAGTGTCGATTACCGTGTCCCGCGAGCACCAACACGACGAGGCACAGATTCGCCAAAGGACGATCCACACTCGCCTCGACTTGTGCCAAGTGTCAAATCGCTGCCGAAGATTGTGATCCCACAGCGTCGGGAAAGGTCGCCTTCTAGCCGAAGCACGTCTCCCTTCCCAGCATATCGCGACTATCCTTCACCATCAGTGACCGCAAGTACGAGGTCTCCAATCAGCACACGACCACCTAGCTCGTATACGCCAGCTCCTCTGGCCAGTGTCACTTCACCTGATTCGGTTGATGCTGAACACAGCGCCGAAATGGAAAGACCTCGACGGCCTAACAAGCTGGCTAAGGTATGGCCATATCGTCTCCTGCCCCCGCCAGGAGTCATGATCTCGACTCTGCTCCCGACAATCTACCACTGGCACGACAAGACTTGGTGGGAAAAGCTTCTGGGAATCGTCGCTGCCCCAAGCGTTTTCCTACTCACGATAACTCTGCCTGTGGTGGAGAGTGATCAGGACGCTGAGAAAGAGAAAGGCACGCCATCGCAGTCGCATTCACGTAGGGACTGGAGTATGGACACAACGCGATCCAAGAGTAGTGCTGGCGTCCAGAGCCTGGTGACTACGACAGGCCTTAAGGGTATCTCGCCTGAGCATGAACACGACGATTCAGAGTCTCATCCTCACAGCCACGAGCGCTCTCCAAACGGCATTCCTGGAGTGTCAAACGCGACTGGCCATGGCAACACAGCCTCCATTGTCATTGGCACGGAGCAGCACCTTCGACACATCATGAGCAGTAACAAAGTGCGTAATGCCTCAATTCTAGCGGAACCTAGCCATATCCAACCTGAAATGGTCGCTTCACCAGAACTTGAAGACGGGCCCGCGGACGAGCTCTGGAATCGGTGGCTTACGATCATCCAAGTCTTCCTGGCTCCGATCTTCATCGTCTTCAGCATCTATCTTCAAGCACCAAACGAGTTACCCGAGACGTGGCTCATCAAACCAATCCTAATCAGCCTCCTCATCAGCCTAATCCTCCTAATCCCCCTCCTCCTAACCACAACATCAACCTACCGCCCAAGCTACTACAGAATCATCCTCAGCCTCGTCGGCTTCGTGGTCGCCATCGCGTGGATCTCCGCAATCGCCTCCCAAGTCGTCGGCGCCCTCAAAGCTCTAGCCGTAATCCTCAACATGTCCCACGCAATCATGGGCCTCACAATCTTCGCCGTCGGAAATTCTCTAGGAGATCTCGTCGCGGACGTCACAGTCGCAAAACTCGGATATCCCGTCATGGCCCTCTCCGCCTGCTTCGGTGGTCCAATGCTCAATATTCTCCTCGGCATTGGGCTCACTGGCTCTTACCTCCTGATCCGTGGAGCCGAACAAAGACACGAAAAACACCCGCACAAAGGTCTGAAATTCCATTCCTACCACATCGAGGTTAGCAAGACTCTGATTGTGAGTGGAATTACGCTTTTGATTACGCTTGTGGGGCTTTTGATTTCCGTGCCGTTGAATCGATGGGTTTTGAGTAAGAGGATTGGTTGGGCACTTATCGCTTTGTGGTCGATCAGCACGATTTTCAATGTGGTTATTGAAGTCACGGGGATTCTTGGGGGCGTGGAAGAGGTTTTGCAGATTGGTTCGAAGAATGGTTGTTGGAGTCCACTTGGGAAGATGGGTTGTGAATGAGGAGGGATGAGTTCGTTGTAGCCTATTCTTGTTTTTTTCTCTCTCTCTCTATTTTTATATGAACAGATTGATGAAGATACCCACATTGTCTTGGAGGGCACGGGAGTTATGGGCAGCGATCAGGAAGTGGTTTTTGTATATACGTGGTAGTCATGATCATGAACATATGGACGGGGTGGACAGTGCTTTCCTTCTCCATTCTCTGGATAAGATTGATTATCAGCAATTCCAAGGATATCGATACATCTCGCATCACTTCCCCCCCTTTCGAGTAACTTAACTCTCACCAATCGTGCTCATCAAACGCGGAGTCTGCGAAGTCCCAAGCTGACTTCTCCCCGTATCTGTCTCGGGAGGTCGATTCTCCTTATCTCCATCCCCATCATCCATCTCTCCCACCACCTCCTCAAAACTCCGACCATTCGAATTCTCCTGAGTGGCATGGACATAAACATGAGTAATATCACTCAAAGCCTCTCTCCTTCCTCCATCCCCATCCCCGTCCCCACCATCCACCACCTCCTGTTCCCGTTCCCGTTCCCGTTCCCGTTCCCTCTCCAACTCCTCATCCAACCTCCCCATCCCCACCACAAACTCCCTCTGCAAATCTTGTAACCACACCCTCAAATTCTCCTCACTCATCACTCCCTCTTTCGCTTGTATTAAATGCTCTTTTAAATTCAACAATAATTTCCTCCTCCTCGCTTTCAAAACACTCACGAAATTCCCTCCTGCTTTCCGACTCTTCCCAATCCTCTCAAGTGCCGTGCTCACACGTTCCGCAACCTCCACCACATCTCTGGGCAAAGGGACGAGTTTCGAGATTTTGAGACCGTAATGTTCCTCCTTTTCTGCGCCCGATGCGATGGTGTAGAGCATGTTCATGCTGGCGTCGGAAATGTCGACGGAGAGGTGTAAATTCACGACTCCGCTTCTTTCGGACAGGATTTGTGCGAGGTCTCGGAAATGTGTGGCGAACCAGACTAAAGCTCGACTTGACACGAGAGCTTCGGCGATGGCGATGGCGATGGACAACCCATCACGCGTCGAAGTTCCGCGGCCGAGTTCGTCGATGATGGCCATGCTGGAAGGATCGAGATTATGCAGGATGAAAGCAGTTTCTCGCATTTCGGAAGCGAAGGTGGAGACGTTAGCTTCGATGTTGGAATCTATGGAGACGCGAGCAAAAATTTGGCGGATGATGGGGAAGGCTGCGTATTGTGCTGGGACGAAAGAGCCGATTTGGGCCATGATGGTCATTAAGGCTATGGAGCGGATGTAGGTGCTTTTGCCGCTCATGTTGCAGCCTGTGATGATTTGGAAGCGGGTTTGTTGCGTAGCGTAGACGTCGTTGGGGATGTATTTTGTGTTGTTGTTACGCTGGAGGTTTTCTTTGATGGGGTGACGACCGGCTCGGATGGCGAGAGTTGCGCTCATGACTGGTCGGACGTAGTCTTGGAGTGCGACGATGTGGGCGAAGGAGGCGAGCATGTCGAGCATTGCGACGCATTCGCAGATTTTGAACATTCCTGACATGTGCTCGCGGAGGTTGACGATGAGCTCTCTGACGGATTTGTCTGACATGTTCAGCACTTCGATGTGGGCGTCGACGATTTTCTGATTTCGCTTCACAAGATCAAGCGTTTGGCATTCGATCATGTCCTTTCTTCGGTATACGTTGATGAACACAGCCGGGAGAGTGCGGTCTGCAAGCTCGTCCACACGAAGACGGAGGTAAAACTGGCGACCGTTCTCATATTTGGTAATGAAAGGAAGCTTGTGTTCTTCACCCATATCAGCGATATGCTGCATCGCATCGGTCATAGCCTCCTTGTACGTCTGACGTGCAACGTCGAGCAAACCATTGATGCCAGACTTGACAGCATATATCCTCTGATTGCGGAGGTCGAGAGGCTGATGAGCGAATGTCGTGTCCTCATTGATGGTGCTGTTAATCAAATCAAGCACGTTGTCGACGTTTTCTGGCGAACAAAGTCGCTGGATCTCTTGTAGCATCTCACTGCGAGAGCCAGTGAGCGATTCGAATACGGGCCTGATCAGTGTCACGAAGTGCTTCAGCATGATGACGTTATTGATAGACTGCTCAGTATTCAGGCCATGTGCCGGATTCGCAGGTACCAGGATAAGCTGTGTGAGGATCTTGTCAATATCTAAGAATGGCTTTAGAGCAGAGCGAACGTTGAAGAACATGTCCTCCTTCGTGCTGAGCTCTTCCACTGCGTCGTATCGCTTGTTGAGTGTGTCTTGATTCGTGACAGGCTGCAGGACATTGCTTCGTAGTAGCCGAACACCCATTGGCGTCAGTGTTTCGTTGAGGAGGCCAAACAGGCAGTCCTTGGACTTTGGATTTTGCAAGTTTTGCACAAGCTCCAAAGCCCGGATAGTCGACAGATCGATCATCATAGATCCTTCGGATGGCTCGTACTTGATGCGTAGCGCATGAAAGTGAAAGGTCTTCATCATTGCAATCTCGGCATATTTCAAAGCGGCGGCAAAGCAACAAACGGAATAGTAGTTGCCTTCAACAGCAGTCTTGATGGACTCAACATCCTCAGAAAAGCCCAGCTGTTGGATGTAGTCCAGCCCCGTGCTCTCCGCCCAGTACTTGCGATCCAGAAGAGTAATGTTGCATTCGAGATTTGACATGTGCTCTTCAATGATGGAGAACAGCTTCGACTTTGGGGTGGCTGAAGTTGAGATGACGAGGACGTTGGATGGATTGAACACCATGAGCTTGTGGATTGTCTTGACGTAAGTCTGACTGTCGTGGAATTGCGAAAGAACGGCCTCGGCAGTATCGAGATTGATGAATGCCAGGCCGACGGTCGGTGCTACGCCACGAGATTCGCTGATGGCACACACGATTTCCTGGCTCTCGACACCAAGAGTGGACACGCCGGTTCGGGGCCGTGCGGTCTGCGGCCGACCGATGCTTCGAGCAGCTGTACGCGGACGCGACTCGGTCGTCGTATCCTGGTAGGCTGGATATGGGGTTGCCGTGTTCTTACGGTTGCTGGTGCTCGTGCTGGTGCTGGTGCTGGTGCTGGTGCTGGTGCTGGTGCTGGTGCTGGTGCTCGTGCTGGTGCTCGTGCTATACGTCCCCGTCGGGCGTTTGCCTGTTGTCGTCTCGTACGACGTGGTCTGGTTGTTCGACACAGAGGCGGCCGCTGCGTAGTACGAGCTCGCCTTCCCATTGCGTGGCGCCGCCATCATATCGATGGTCAGATGTGCATGCAGCGGATGTGAGTGAATGTGAGTGAATGTGAGTGAATGTGAGTGAATGTGCGTGAATGTGAGGAATGTAAGTAGATGTGAGGGGGGAAGTAGATGTGAGTGCGAACTTGAGATGCAGCCACGCACGCGTGAAAGCTTGGGAGGCGACCAGATTCACCAGAACTGGAAGGAGCACTTGGGATAGAAGTAGCGACGCACGCGTGAAAGCTTGGGAGGCGACCCGATTCACCAGAACTGGAAGGAGCACTTGGGATGGAAGTAGCGACGCACGCGTGAAAGCTTGGGAGGCGACCAGATTCACCAGAACTGGAAGGAGCACTTGGGATGGAAGTAGCGACGCACGCCAAATTAAGCGCGCCCGTGGTTCGACTGCTTCTGCCGTGAGCTCGCATGAATCGTCAATCACGGTGTCAAATGACCAAAGTGTGTTTCAATGCTTCATCGCTTCGGAATCCTTGCTTTTTAATGGTACATGACGGTCAGACTGACCTGAGGTAAGCTCCATCCGCGCGTTACATATTAGCATTATGGCCAGCTAATGTGCAGCTCAAAGCGACGCCAGGATCTACTTGCTACCTGGGAAGAGTGCTTTGCCTGCCTGCTTGCTTGCCTCGAGTGCGCCCTTGAGGTTGAACTGGCTCGGGATGCCTTCCACTCTGTGCGTAGAATTGATATTCTTCACCAGGGTGATTTGGTAGCACGTTGCAGAGCCTTGACGGGAGATGATTGTGCTGTAAGCGAGGAAGTACTCCCAGATCCTGTACCATCTCACGCCGTACTTGGCGATGACCTTGTCCTTGTTGCCAATCCAGTTGCGGTACCACCTCCATATCGTGGCCGAGTAGTGTACCCCGATGGTGTCGATGTGCTTGACTTCGAAGCCAGCACCCTCAAGCTTGTCGATGAAGAATCCGAGGGGAGTTGACGCATCGGCCCCAGGGAAGATGTACTTGTTCATGAAAAGACCCCAAATCAGGTCCTCGTACTGCCAGCTCTTTCTGAGACCTGCAATTTGAAGGAAGAAGACACCATCGTCATCGAGCATATCGTAGACCTGCTTCAAGAAAGTGCCAAAGTATCTCACGCCAACGTGCTCGGCCATCTCGAGACATGTGATTTTGTTGTAGCCGCCCTGCGGTACTGGAATATCGCGATAGTCCATGCAAAGAATGCGACTCTGCTCCTCTGGAATGCCAGCCTTGCGAAGACCAGCGTTGCCCCACGCTGTTTGATTGCGGCCGAGAGTGACACCGGTAGCCTCTGCGCCGTAGTTGACAGATGCGAACTTGGCGAGTGTTCCCCAGCCGCAGCCAATATCAAGCATATTCTCACCAGGCTTGAGACCGATCTTCTCGCAGACGATGGCCAGTTTGTTGTCCTGCAATTGCTCGAGACTTTCCTCCTTGTTGATGTCCGAGACGATACCACTGGTGTAGATCATGCGTGGGCCCAAGAACCAGCCATAGAAGTCATCACCACGATCGTAGTGGTCACGAACCTGCTCTTCATCTTGGCTTCTGGTGTGCATGATGACCTCAGGCATCATACCCGTCAAAAAGAACCAGTAGAGGCTCAAGGTGAAGCGGAAGTTCGCCCAATCGTGTCGGTACTCCATAGTCTCAAGCATGTCGCCCTTGATATCCACCTCATTGTTGAAGTACATCTCGTGAAACGTCTCCATGGGAATCTTATTCTTGCCACGATACTTCATCTTATCGCTATCCTTCTTGAAAGTGAGATAGTTTTCGATTGGGAGGCCGGGAAACTTGGCCTTCTCGTTGAGACGTGGGGACATGGTAGAGGCGATGGTCCAGAAGGCCATAAGGATCGGGATTGCCGTGAGGATAGCGAGGAGCAGCCATGTGAAGAGACCTCCGCCAATGTGCCAGGAGATGTAGGCAGGAATGCCGCCCAGGAGGGTGAAGAGGAAGTAATTGTTGAAGGTATCGCTACCGGGACCGTCGGCGGGGAGAGGAGCATTCTTGATGGCCGGGTACTACATTTGCACATGTCAATGGCTGCAAGTGAGTATGCGTGAGCAATGCATACCGAAGTCGTGCGGACGCCATAGTTCTGCGACTCGGGCGAAGGAGACGGTGCTGCTGGGGTGTGTATGAATTCGAAATCGTCTTCTGGCAGCGAGTCGCCCTTCACTTTGCTGCGAGGGAGCGCCATGGTCACGCTTCCTGGAGTCAATGGCTCAGAAGGTCGACGGCGGGGAGAGGCACACTTCACGCCTGCTCTCTGAATTTCACCTCCAAGATTCAGGGACCCTGGAGCTCTCCAACTAGGGAGGCCCATACGTACCAGATTGTCAATACAGCACTTCTAACCGCAGCGACAACAACGCAATCTTTGCTCCTTTAAGTTCTTTTTAATATATCTTTTTATATAGAGGAGTTATAGCTTAACAATGTAGAACAAAAATACTCTAATTTGTATCTATTTTTAGAAAATAATAAAATTTCTAGTCGTTACCTATTGAATTTATAGGCTATATAGCCTAAAAGTCTAATTTAGAAGTTTAACAATTTTAGCATTTTTTAGGCCTTAGCATACTATTTTTAGTAATCTAAAATCTAGATCTTATAGTTTCATCTTATAAAAATCTAAATCTAAATTTATATATTATTATATAAACTAGTAGTAATATAATCTAGAAAGGAATATTATTTTCTTACTATATTCTCGTTAGTTTATCTTTTTATTTAGAAGAGCTATAGCTTAGTAATATAAGACAAATATACTTTAACTTTTATATATTTTTAGAAAATAACTAAAACTATTATAGCTATATACTAAGATTTACAAGAGCAAAGGGAAATTCAAGGACTTATAGGGAAAGAGATTGTAGAAAGAATTATAGTTAAAGAGGTAATTAGGGCTAGGAACGAAGGAAAAGGGGTAATCAAGCTGTTTATAGCATAAGAGCAGGACAAAAAGAAGCTAGAAACACAAAAAGAATAGACAACTAAGATAGGGAAAACAGCAAAGGTCTCCTAACAGCAATTTATAATTATAGCCTATAGTATAACAAGAAGCTTTAAGGAAGAATAGGATATTAAGAGCCTATAGAGACAAAACTAAGCTACAAGCCTAGGCCTAAAGATTATAAAAGTAGTATAGATTAAAAGGAAAATCGAAGAGACTAAGAAGCAGTCTTCCCTAATTATCTAGGTAGGGAGTATAGAGCAAGCTAATATAGTGCTAGACTAGGGGTTGTTCTAGGACTATAAGAGATTAGAAACAGAGATATATAGAAGCAACTATAGGATAATGCAGTGCTTCAAATATTAATACTATAGACACTTAGCAGCTAAGTATACAAAGACAACTAATACCTGCTCCTATTATATAGGGGATTACTAGGTCAAAGAATGCAAAGTATACAAGGGAGAAGCAAGATATATATACTGTACTAAAAGATACCCCTCTTAGGCGAAGGAATGCCTAGTAAGAATATAGGCAGCGAGGAAGGCAAAGGAAGCTAGAATTAATACACTAAAAAGATATATAACAAGCTAGGGCAGCTAGGTACAGAAGCAACCTAGCTAAGTGCTATAAAAGAGGTCTAGACAAGATAATAGGTTCACATTTAGGGCCTTACTAGTATAAGAGAATTACTAGCAACTAGGGAGACTAAGATACCTTAACATTATAGGAAAGGAAGCAGGGCAGACAAAGCTTAGTTAAATATTAGTCTAAAGTAAGGGAAGACTAAAGGAAAACTTATAGGGAAATAATATAGATAAAACCCAATAAACATTGCAACATTACTAAACATTATATAGTACAATATTAATAAGAGCAAAGATAAGGTATAGAGGAGCTTCCTTTAAGCACTAAACCTAAAAGAACATTACATTATTGCAATCTAAGAGCCCTAGCTTAACCTATATATAAAGAGACTAGCAACAGTTAAAGACCTAAGATACTACCTAATTATCTACAACTAGGGAGCCCTAAGGATATGTATCTATATTAGCAAGGAGATAGATACAGAAACCTAGTAGGCTATACTATAGGAGGATAGGGACCTAATATTAGTTTAAGTAGAGACATCCTAAGGTATACTCTAAGTCTACTACATATACAACCTACTACTAGACTTAAGAAGCAGTACCTAACTGAAAACCCTAGAAAGACTACCTAGAGTTATCTAGGGGAACACCTACTAAATCCTACTTAGGGATTTCAACCTCTACTACCCCCTCTAGGGCTTAGACTTTACCCTAGCTTACTACTTCCTAGCAGGAAGACTAATCGATATATTAGAGAGGGAAGAAATAGAAATTGTTACCCTAAAGGGACTAATTACTTAGGAGGCAAGAGGAAGCAGTAGTATACTAGATCTATGCTTTATATTATATCAGATTAGGAATAGGATTATAAGATATAGGATTAACTAGGAACTAGAAGAATTATTAGACTACTTCCCGGTATAGATTGAACTAAATGTCTAAGCTAATTAGGAAAGGGAACTAGAGGAGAAGCTTAACTAGAAGGGTGCCTAATAGGGCAGGATTAAGGAGGAACTAGAAAGGGACCTAAAACTAGAGGAACTCTTAACAAAGTACCTACTAAGGCTAGAGGATATTAACAAAGCAGTAGAAGAACTAATAGGAATCCTAAAACAGGTAGCTAGAAAGCATACCCTAGCAAAGAAACATTCACTATACTAGCAACTATACTAGACTAGTAAATATATAAGGAAGGTTAAAGCAGCAAGGAAGGCTAGGAAGCAGTAGATACAAACCTATACCTAAGAAGCATAGGACAACTATAACAAAGCCTGCTAGGAAAAGAAGATCCAGATTAAGAAAGATAAGATACAAGAATAGAGATCTATAATAGGAATAATTATAAAGAAACTAGAAGAGATATAGAGGATAGCTAAATAGGTAAGGAGACCTAAACAGGATAAGGACATACTACTACAATTCCCGGACATTATAGACTAATAAGGACAAATGCAGACTACAATAGAAGGGAAAGTAAGAGCCCTAGGCTAATACTTCTTCTATAGAAAAGTATAAGCAGACCTATTAGATATAAGGGAGATCGAACAAGAGACTCTACTACTAGGCATACTAAGAGATACCTAGGTTAAACCCGAAACTATTAAAAAGATCCTAAAGAAAATTCTAGGCAATAAGGCACTAGGAGAAGACAAGATCTATAACAAACTTCTAAAAGCATATAGGAAGGGGCTAGCCCTAGTACTAGCTAATATCTTTTTATAAAGCCTAGCACTAGGACACTACCTAAGACTATTTAGGAAGTCCCTAATAGTAGTGCTAAGGAAGCCCTAGAAGGAAGACTATATATAGCTCAAGGCCTATAGACTAATAGTCCTACTTAATATAATAGGCAAGGTGCTAGAAAAAATTGTCGCTAAAAGGCTAATAACCTTCGCCGAGGAAAGGAACATCCTTCCTAAAGGCTAGATAGAAGGAAGAAAGAAGAGGTCAATACTAATAGCTATAGAACTAATTATAGAACAGATTAAGTATATCTAGCACTATAGTTAAAACTAGGTAGCAACCCTCCTCTCCCTTAATATCTTAGGAGCCTTTAATAATATCTTCTATAAAAGGCTCCTATATATACTCAAACAGAAAGCTATACTAAACTAGATAGTCTAATTTATCTAGTCCTTCCTATAGGAAAGATTAATATAGCTTATTCTAGGCAAATTCAAATTAGACCTAATACTAACTAAAAAGGGAATCCCCTAAGGATTAATACTCTCCCTAATCCTCTTCCTTATCTTTATAGCAGACCTACTCCTACTCCTAGAATCAAAAAACACATTAGCATTAGGGTTTATAGATAATACGAACATCCTAGCCTAGTCTAAGACAATAGAAACCAACTACAAGATCCTAGAAGAGAAGCACTAGGAGTATAAAAAATAGGTAAGGAGGTATAGAGCAAAATTCGCCCTAGAAAAGTACTAGCTTATCTACTTTAGCAAGGCTAAATCAACCTATAATATAAAGCAATCAATCACTATCTAAGGCTTTGAAACCTAACTATTAGCAGAGCTTAGGGTACTAGGGATCTAGCTAGATCTAAAACTAAATTAGGGACTATAAGTAAAGAAGGCAAAGCAGAGGGCAGATGCTAATATACAATCCATTAATAGGCTTATAGCCTCTATATAGGGGGCTATATTCGAGAAAGCTAAAGTTATATACAAAGCAATTGTTAAACTAGCAATACTATATAGAGTATAGATATAGATAGCCTAGGAGAAAACACTAAAGAGGATTGAACAACTAGTTAGTAGGTCCTAAACCCAAAGCCTAAAGAAAATCCTAGGAGTATACAAAACTACACTAACAAGGGTAGTAGAAATAGAATTAGGGATCCTATTAGTTAAACAATACTTTAAGGGACTAAGACACTAATATATAGCAAAGACAATAGAATACCTAGCCTAATAGACTATCCAAAAGGCACTAGATAAGATAAAAGCCTAGTATATTAGGACTAGGAGGCGAGACAGACTACAAATAACTCCCTAGAAAGTTAAAGACCTAGAGCAATATAGAGTCTTAATAAGAGAAATGCTAGAGAAAGAGCTTTAGGGACTAAATATAAGGCCAAAGGAAGACAAACTAAAGGGAGAGAAACAAAGCCTAGTAGAATCAATTGCTAGACACCTATAGGAGTAGGAATAGAATAAAACATAAGTTAGACTAGGAACCCTAAAGGCACTAATCAAATTTGGTTAATACAACTACTAGCTCTATAAGGACCTAAATAGGGCCGAGGCAAGCCTAGCTATCTAAATTAGATCTAAACATATTAGATTTAGATCTTACCTATTTAGAAGAAACGTCCTAGGAATTAAAAGCAGGGCTTACTAATATAGCTACTAATCTCAGAACCCTAAGCATATACTACTAGTCTGCCCTTAATAGTTAGAAGGTAGAAGTAATTAGAGACTAAAAGCAATAGAAAGGGAATACGACAAGCTAATCTAGAGCAAAGAAGACCTAAAGAGGATAGTAAAGTAGATTATTAAACAGGGATTTATACAACAATTCGTACTAGTAAGGGAAACTAAGGAGTAGATAAGAAGGAGGGAAGAAGAGGGGGAAAGAAGGGCAGAGTAGTAGGCAAGGTAGTTAGAGGGTAACAACTATAATACTAGTATACCCTAGAGGAAAGAGAATAAGGAAACAAGGAAGATTAACACTTATAAATAGGACAGGAGGGAGGTTTTTACTAACTAAGTTGGTTTCCTACCTAGAATAATACATAGAAATAGACCTGCATAGGCCGAAAGGCACTACAATAGGCAAATGAAATATCTATCTATCTATATACTAAGATTAGCCTAAAACTCTTAGGTAAAGATTTTAAGATTTTAGTATTTATTAAGCCTTAGTATACTATTTTTAGTAATCTAAAACCTAGACCTAAAAGTTTTACCTAGTAGAAATATATTTTAAGATTCTTATTTTAATACGCTTACTATTAGTCTTAAAATCCTAAAGCGAATATTCTTAACAATTGTAGGCTTAGCAATTTAAAGTTTACAATTCTTAAGAATATTCTTTTCTAAGTTATAAGACTATTTATAGCTTATTTAAAGTGAAAGCTTTAATATAGATTCCTACTAGGTAAAACTATTAGGTTTAGGTTTTAGATTACTAAAAATAGTATACTAAGGCTTAAAAAAAGCAAAAGTCTTAAAATCTTTATTCTAGAATTTTAGGCTAATCCTAGTAGATAGCTATAACAATTTTAGTAATTTTCTAATACTAGATTAAAAACAGATTATTTTTGTCTTATATTACTAAGCTATAACTCGTCTAAAGAAAAAGATATACGAAAGGGAACCTAAGAAGAATTTAAGTTTTAAATTCTAGATTATAGAACTAATAGTAGCTATATTACGAGAAAAATCTCAAAATAGATTTTTATTAAGTAAAACTATAAGGCCTAGTTTTTAGATTACTAAAAATAGTATATTAAGACTTAAGAAAACGCTAAAATTCTAAAATCTCTAACTTAGAGTTTTAAGCTATATAGCTTATTAATTTAGGAGGCAACGACTGGAAATTTTAATATTTTCTAAAAATATACATAAATTAGAGTATCTTTGTCCTATATTATTAAGCTATAACTCCTCTAGATAAGAAGATATATTAAAAAGAACTTGTAGGGGCAAAGATTGCGTTGTAAATTCTTCATTAACAATCTGGTGTGTATAGAGCTCCGTCTCCAACTAGAATATCAAGCCCCACTCCACTTTCTTGGCAGCAAGGATGATCATCAGCTACGCGTCGACCTTTGGGAGCAACTTCATCTCGTCACGGACCTCATCAGCATAACAACGTGTGCAGCCAGCCTTTCGCGCATATCTACACCCTTTCGTGAGCGCCTTTTCAACTCCGAGTCGTCCCTCATGCGCCGCGCCGAGAGCATAACGCCAACCAAGAGGAGGGGATGGAGAACGAAGGGAAAGGATGCTTGCATACGTTGTTTTTCATCCATCTCTGCTTCATCATCGTCGCGCGCTGCTTCGAGCCGTGCAACTTCGCTGTAATCGCGACGGGAAGGGCACCTTGATACTGTATGGTGTATCGAAGCGGCATCGCCAGCCTCATGCGGAAATCATGGCCATCTCGGAGAGAAGAGCAGCATTTCGCGCAGGAGATGCTCAGCTTAATCATCTGCTCCGTCAATCGTCCATTGCCAAGTTATGCTATTGCATGTACTGTAGCACTTGCCATACGACGGTGACGGTGCTAGAATACACTCATCTGCTGCCGTGAAAGTGCCGAAGGATTCGTCCTTAGCGCCGCTACATCTCAGCTGGCACAGCAATATGGCACTATTAATAAAGTCTATTATAATGCCACACGCCTGGCCGCCACACCCCTTTCTTCGCTGTTCATCTCTGCTTTCCCTCTGGTGCATGTGGCAGCGTACGAAGCCGTCTGCTAACATCCAGCACAACCATGGCCCAGTCTACGATGCGCGCACTGGCATGCTTTCGGGACGCGAGGACGCTCATGCTGTGCGCAGTTGTGGCAGCAATTTTATTCGCGATAGGCCATCATCTGTTCTACTCCAGCTTGCAGGCTCGAGACATCTCTCAGACAACATTCGATCAAGCAAGAAATATCAATATCGGCACTGCCTTCGCCTTTCTCGTCAAGATCTGCCTGTCCATCGCTATCGGTGCAGCGTATGCCCAGGTCCTTTGGCGCACCTTCTTGCACAGGAGCCTCAGCGTTGCACAAATCGACTCGCTATCATCTTTGATCACCTCACCTGGGCTTGATGGCATCGGACACGCTGTCCGCTTTCCCGCCCTGATGGCTGTTGCTACTATCGGCTGGTTTATTAGCGTGGCCACCATCTTTCCACCCGGTACTCTCTCCGTACACGGCGAAGTTGATAGCAATAGGACTACTCTGACAGTACCTACCCTGGATTTTTCGCAGCCTATCATTCAGCGCGTTGAGGGACGTAGTATCAGTGCTTCTGGCATCAATGTGCAACCTGGCGATCCTTCATACTATACATTTCCCGCGCCACCGCGTGCTATTGCTTCAGTCCTGTCAACCATGACTGCTTTCACTGGTATACCTAGAGTCTCAGGAGCACAGTCCAACACCTCGTACAGCGTCAGCTTCTATGGGCCTGCCTTGCAATGTTCGACATCGCAAGTCAACACGAGCCCAGTCTTCTGTGATGGAGACGATGGTGGCGGTCTATCTAAGAGCAGCGTGTATTACACTTCGTTTCTGAAGTATCCACAGGACTCAGGATCATCGTTTCGCAGGTTCTGGGATCTGAATGCCTCGGTTCCTTCTGGTGGCAACGATACGATATCATGCAACGAAATCACCAGCTATCGGACCTCCGTGTTTGGAAACACGCCACCTGAGTTGTACGTCGTTTTGCTTGGGACGGATACAGTCAACATCACTGGCTGGAACGTGACCACATGTCAGCTGTTGAATGCGACCTACTCTGTCAACACGAGCTTCCCAGATGGTCAGCAAGTTATTTCTACAAAAGTCGATGAACTTACGCCACTAAAATCTACCATTGACTACTTCGAGGGTTATCATGGCAATATCTCGGACATCACCAACATTACTGCAGGCACGAATGGCATCTACAATTACCTGGCAATGATGGCATTGATGGGCCAGATCGCGGTGGGCACTGTGAACTCGGCGTCTGGTTCGCAACAGATGTCGTACGAAGAGGGCGCTTCGCTTGATGTGACCTCTGCTGAAGTGCCTTCGATCTTCAGTACCCGTCTCACCACCTCACCGGAGATGAAGGCGCTACATGAGGCCGTGTTTACGCTTTCGGATATCGCAGATATCGAAGACTCTGCGTTCGAAGGCTCTACGGCAGCACCGCTGGCACAGCAACTCGAGGAATTATTCCAAAATCTAACCGTAGCTATGTCAACCAATCCATCGACCTCATCGAATCAGTCAGTGACAGGTCTCGTTGACTTTCCCATTAACAGATACGCATATCAAGCAGAGCATCTGTGGATCTCTTACGGTATCGGAATCCTTCTCACAGCTCTGATCGTCGTCCTTGCATACTTCGCCGTTGCTTCGAATGGCGCACCCTACAGCACCAAATACTCGACATTCCTTCGCACCACACCTTGGCAGGCGGCCGAAAAGTCTCTCGCCGGCGAAGCCCATCTCGGAGACCTTGGTTCGGATCCTGTGCCGTTGAACATTGCAAGATTGCAGGTACATCTGGGCAATGCCACGCCAAGCGGAGTCGAAAGCGAGATACTTCTCGGCGATGCTCAGAAGGCTGGAGCGACCCCGATGGTGCATCTTCGAAGCTCGCCAAGCAACAACAGCCTTTGAGGTGCCCACAGTGCCTCAAGAGCAACGCTGGCTAATCGTACATCCCATGTTGAACGGGTTACACTGAGTGATTATGTCCGCCACTACACGTTGCGCCAAAACTTGCGCAAAGGAGATTCCAGACACTATCCAAAGAGTAGCGCACTGAGATACTTGCTGAAAATGCTCTTTTCATGCCTAGGATCTATGGGAGTCGTGTTGCCAGATAGTCGACCAACGCAGAACATCACGCAGGGATGCGAATTATCTGTGTGAGAGTTAGGGTGTTATTGAACGGACCAGTTGAATGGGATGTGGGGACTGAGGATGGAGATCGCGAGGAAACAACTATGACTGTTGATCAGATCCTTCGTGAGGAGTGAGCGAGATTGACGAAGTACCTAGAGGATAAGGTAGAAAGCTTTCCGAGCATGAATTGGAATTTCTCATCGCGACCTGTATTATTCTTCGTCTTCAGACTGCATATCTTTCTCTTTCACTCCACACCGCGGATCTTATTGACAAACCAGAGATCCAGCTCGAAGAGGCAATGCTTGGTTGGTATGTGTATGAGATGTTATGAGGTAGGTACAGGCTCGGAAGTAAACTCTCCAAAGCGAGCTCGTTGCGTCCACACCACAAGGCGGAATTATCGGATACCCTGATATGCTTCATGTACCTGCAACCCGCCAAGCTGCTCAAATCAAGTATTCCTCGCATATCCTTAGGTAGCATGAGGTTATACCCGATGTATGTATGTATGCATACTGGTGTCCACCAGTGTACGAGGTGTGGATCTTGAGGAGGCTGTAATTCCGCATCCAAATTTGGGAGGAAGCTGATTTTTGAGAGCGAGATGGATGAGCGGCGCGAGATGGGAGAGGTTGAAGGGACGAAGAAGTAGAGGAGGGGATGGTGTGAGAGGCAGGAGAGGGCGATGGTGAACTTTCTCGGAGGCGGTTGTTCGAGATCTTTGAAAGCTTGATCCAGCGTGGAGATTTCTCGTGTTGTCTGGTGACCTGGTAAGTTAGCTGAGGCTTGCTTTGTTAAGGGGTTAAGAGCTTTTTTGACGGTGCTCGCACAGCCTGACGGAAGCTCTAGAATTTCCAATGACTTTTGGATGTATCAAAGTGCATGTCACCTCTCAAAGGCGATCGATAACGCACCCGAACTCAGTCTCCTCTTGATGAGTAGGATGATCCGGCGAATTATACCTTACTAGAGGCCCTAGATTTCTTGGTACGGCTGTAGTAAAACGAAAATTCGAAGCCGACAAAGAGGGTTTGCCAGAAATTCGTCGTTTGAAGCCCTAGCATGCGGCGGATGAAGTCCAAATTCTGTTGTATAATCTGCTAGAAACCCTTTCTAGGAAGCTATCGATCGAATGTTGAGAACTCCGATATTGCTTGCTGAATGATTGTCACTCGAGGGAGAAAGCATCGAGGTGGTGGAGGTACGCGACCACAGGAACCACTAGTGCATGTCCAGCATTGGGTGGCGTTGTACGGATAAGGAAGCTCCGATGTCGATGACTCGTTAATGAGAGCAATCACTTGTGCGGTCTGACGGCGCATCATGTCGAAGAGCTATCGGGGAAGGTCCGTTCCAATGCTGCTCTTTGTTGCACAAGTGATATCAAGCACTTCAAGCGCTGATGTCCACCTGGCGAAGGTTGTGGTACGACAACGAGCTCGGCGGTGAGGGCTAGACAGCATTCTGCGCGAGGAAATCGATTTTGCGTGCCCATGATTGTGGCAGTGCACGGGCCTCGTGTAACGATTCTTCAAACCTGCCCCTTGCTAGATTGCAATGGGTCGAACCACACCCCGTCGAAGACACCAGAGGCTCTCGAGGCTTCTGAAATGGACGTATAGGCGCCAGCAGAACCCATTGGATGCTTCAACTCGTTAAGACTGCCAAGCTAGCGTTTCACCTGGGTCTCTTTGCAGTCGCTGAAGTGCGTAGTCCTTGCTCTAGGCTGTGCAAATTCTTTCGTCGGCTCGCGGAGCATCCCCGATGAGAACTTGTTGCAGAAGGTCCACTGCCACATCACGGTGCATGAGGACCGTACGATCTCTCTGTCCAGTATCCCGAGCTTCTGGTGCTTGGAGAGGGCCCTAGTCAAACTCTCTTTGGGGCAGGGCGGCGAGTCCTAGGTTTTTTGACCTATCGTCTCACTGCTTCTGAAGCCAACACGGTCCTACACACCATTGAGTATGGCCCGCCGCCCGTGGACTCCCATGCCTTCGCCGTGTCGCATCCCAGCGAGCGGGAGTCTGGCCCGGTCCTAGCGCTCCAAGTCAAGCGATAGTCCGATACTACTGTGTGGAACTCATGCCCAATCTTGTCCGTATAGGTCGCATTGGCATTGAGCATGGCTCACTCTCGCTGAGCTTGACGAAAGATTTGTGAGATCCTCCCCTGGCTTGAGCGATCAGCGACTCCAGTCTCACACTTCTGACGGTTGTGGAAGTTTCTGGTCCATCTTTCAGCAACTGATCTCGGTGGTGATTGCAATAACGTTCTTATTGAACATACTCGAGCATAGCAGCCGAGAACACCCGACCCATGAACTGCTATTGCGAGCGGGCTCTATACCATCTTGCCGTGTTTGCTACCTTGTCTCGGTGACAATACAAACCATACCTATGATCACAGTGCAGACCAACCAACAAGTTGAAGCTGGTCTGTTTGTGTTGGGCTTGAATAGTGATCGGATCAATGGCCTGATCAGTCCACTCCAGCAAGAGTCTTGGCACGCCGCCGTCTTGATCGGGCCGTCCCTCCCATCGGTCGACCAGGTCGAAAATTTATGACTTGAAGGTGAATCAAAGATATGATAGCCGCGGTCAGCGCGGGATGATAGCTCGCGCGTGCTTGGACATGCTCATGCTCATGGCCACGGTCTGCTTGAGCACGATCCGAGCCCAGGCGAAGCAGAGCCGAGTGGTCCACGTGTCTAAGTAGGCGTTCATATCGCGATGTGAATCCTTGCAGGACTATGCTCGAGGCGTCCGGCTGTGTGGGCTGACAGGTGAAGTGGTCTCCTCAGAGCAGCAGCAGATAACAGCAAATGAGAATCAGGCTGGCTAAGGTGTAAGTGGATCAGGCTGAGGCCGGGAGGTGGCAACGATCGCGGCCATGGAGGCCATTCTTATGGCCAATTTGCATATGCTAATCAGATGGCGTCCTCTCTTGCGGAACACGACTGAGATCGAGCAGCGACGACGACCAGGTCCGCGTTTCTCGCCTTCAGTCTGGATTCAATCGACAAAGCTTTTGATTGTCGAAGGTTTGTCCACATAGACGGTTAACGGTTAGGAGGCTGATTATCCTACTGCAGAGACTAGGTTTCGGGAAGTGGTCCTCAGGCTGCCCTGGTCCCCGGCTCAAGCCAGGCTCTATTTGGCAATTGCACACGTCCAACTTCAGAGATAGCGTTAATTGTCTCCGGATTTTAGCGTCCTATTCTTTTGGGTTTCTGCGTAACTGTCTCCACTATTCCGGTTAGGAAATAGCCCGATTATTAGGCGTATAATAGGACCTACTAAACTTACGGATTTGCTCGGTTTTCCTATTAAAGTCGGCTTGCCTAATTAGGCTATTATAGTAGCTTCTAGGGTATTGTTCCTATCGCTACTATCGCTACTATCGCTTGTCTAATTCTTCCTCTTATTCGGCCTCTTAGTAGTAGCTAGCATTCTCGGTACTAGTCTCTTACGCTTACTACTATTATATTTATTAGAAGTCTGCCTCCTACCTACTACTTCTTATATAGCGTTATTGTTTTCTAGCTAAGGGAAGTCTTCTACTACTTCTAAGTCTTATTTTAATAGTAAACTTAAAGCCGCTCTTACTAGCGAAGTAAGGTTTATAACCTTAGCTATTTCTTCGATAGTATCGAAAATTATAATATATCGAGATAAGAGGGGACTAGATAAGCTACTATAATATAGTAAAAAAGAGCGTAGAAATTAACCTACCTATATGCCTTTAGTAATACCTTATATATGCCTATATAGCTAGTTTTTCGTTAGTATAACGACTTCCTACTGCGATATAAGGTCGCCGACTAGTGGATCCTCGGTATACCCGATTTAGCTAGCAAAAATGGCTACATCTCGATCCTATAATCGACTCTACCACTACCGAGCATGTCCGTAAATGCGAGCAATCCGCTGCAACCCTTGCACGCTAAAACCCGGAGACAATCAACGCTATCTCAACTTCAGCTTGAGCACAAGCGTCCCATGACAGCACACCGAGAGTCACATCAGCATTGGAAACACGATGGGTTACCGTGGAGGTGAGCCATCTTCTCCAGCGTCTCGGTGGTATCGCCGTCAAGACCACGATGCTGCAGATTCGGACATAGATGCAATGGAGTGCTGGAGAGCAGGACTTCTTGTATGGGAAGTCGAAAGGCGGAGACGACAACTTTGCGCAGCGAGACAGGATTCCAGGCTCCGGCGATGTCCCAAACGTTGACCGCGCCATCGAGATGTGAGATGACCTCGACACGGACCTTGCGGATGTTTCTTCGTATGATGGTGCATTCGCCACCACTGTGCATGGACTTGGCAAACGCCTACTTTTCGCAGAAGCAACGCAACGGCACACCTTCACGAAAGCGAAAAGCTCGCGAGACTTGCCGGCATTGCCAGATCGAGTTTGATCCTGTTGATCCAAACGAGAAGCGCGGCTATCATCCAGGTAAGAAGACGAGGCAATATGCTGTGCATCTTTAAGGCCCTTCTGACGTAGCTTATAGGGCACGAACAACATTGAAGTCGCACAGGATTCCACGATATTTGAGTCTCTGTTTTCACAAAGCACAAGTCGTGCTTCGATCGACTAGGAATGTGTCTTGGCAAGACATCAAGCGTTTGTTTGGAGATACAAACGGTTCTGAGGAATAGTGCCCTATCTTGCGTGCCTTCAACCCGTGCATCAACAGACTCAGACCCGAGCTCACCGTCTGCCCTATCGAGGCGGCTACGATTACCTCCTCGTGGCAACGGCCCTATGCATCCTGCGGGCGTCACATGGAGCTCGTCTCGATCGTTGTCATGAAGCAAGTTCAAACGCCGCAGCGCCAGGATGGGCCAATGAACTTGAGCGCTGTCAAATCTGAGACAGACCGCCGCAAGTCGCGCATAATAGCGTTGAACGGCGGCCGACAAGAAGTCCGCGGCCTTGATAATTGGATTGAGATGCGTGCTTGACATGTCATGTGTCAGGGTTGCCGGGCAGGCGATCAACTCGGAATTCCGGTGCGCCTGTTCGTGCTACAGCACCCACATTGATTCGCTGGCAACCCGGGGTGCCTGGTTCCCTCTTCACGGTGCCGGATCCCGATGCTGTGAAACTTCTGCGCAGGGCCTCTTGTGTTTCGAGAGCGCTTAGAATGCCGGCCGGCCGGCCGGCCGGGCGCCTAAGACCTGCACCATCCCGATTCTGCTGACATACGTCAATGTATGCAGCCTTTTTCGACGTCAGTCCTTCGAAAAGCCTTGTTCTATATGGCGTGTGTAGAAGTATTTCTTCTTCTTCGACCAACAGCTTGGCAGATGTCGGGCAGTCTTCCACAGAAAGCCAGGGGTGAAAGGCGGTGGCATCTCGTGACACACTTGGCTACTGTGCGTCTGTCAAGGAGGCGTGGCGTGCATAGACGGTCCGCCATGGGTCCCTTCCAGAGCAGGTTAGATCGCCGACGGGGCGAGCCATCCTACTGTGAATGAAGCAGTATAGCATATGGTCGCAGCGGGATTGGCCGAGGATGCATTCCATCGTTTTAGCTTGACGTGCGTACTCTATATGATCAATGGCTCCGCAAGCTCAATTGTCAATTGCAATCCTTGCCATGCACTCAGCTTCCAGGCTCGTCGCACAAGCCTTTCTCCGACGTCGAATGAAGGAGAAGCAAGACACATAGGGAGTCTCCGCAAGTCCCGGATCCTGGGTTCTGCATCTAGCTCGAGCAATGTGCTGATGATGTGTTGTTGAGTACCAAAAGTCGGTGGGATGGTGTGCGACTTTTCGCAAAGTTGGACAAGAGTGTGCTGTACGCCCATCGCACATAAGCGTTGTTTCGATCGTTGCATTTAAAGCGTGGAGGGAAGAAGGAGTTGGGAAGCACCAGCACCTCCTCTTCACTTCTCGCCGCACAAATCAACCACAGCCAGAAAAGCAGGTGGATCTGATTGCACCAGCACCTCCTCTTCACTTCTCGCCGCACAAATCAACCCACAGCCAGAAAAGCAGGTGGATCTGATTGCACTACGCGTGTACTTCACTAAGGCCCAGACACGATGCCTTCGCCTACCTCTCCTGGACCTTCCTCGCCAGTCTCCAGCAGCTCAACCGGGGTTTCGGCCTTGACTCCTCCGTCGACCGACGAGCAGATGAACAAAGTTCGCCTTTTAGCATCGCTGGAAGAACAGGAACTCGAAGGCCACACTAAAATCAATGCGATTCGTGAGGTGCTTCGAAAGGAAGATCGGGCCGTCTCCCTCCAGCTTTGCCGGGAAAGAAGGAGCGGGCAGCCGGAGGCAGATGATTCCTTTCTTCACTGGGTGTTTGGCTTGCCAGCATTGCAAGCCGTCCGAAGGAAGGAGGGACTGGAGGTGACTGATCTTAGGGTCGCTTGCGTTCGTTTGGGTACCGAATGGCGTCGAAAATCTGCGACGTCAAGCCATACGAGCCCATCGGCGTCTCAAAGTCTCGACTGGGTCCATTGGGGCGAGAGTTACCTCCCTGAAAACCGGCAGATGTCCCCGTCCAGTGAACGGGAGCCAGAGATGGGAGCGGAGCTGCAGCTCGTCCTCCATCACAATTCTTTGGAGCTTGCAGAGATACCTGCCCAGCCCATAGAGCGTACGCCAGAGGACAGGATGCAGTGTGCTCTCTGTGGCGTTGTGTTTACGTCTGAGGAGGACTTTGAGAAGCCTTGTCTCTTTCATCCTGGTAAGTCTCGAAATCCCTCAAAGGTTTATGAGAGTTCTCGGCCGGGCCTGCTGATCGTCGATACAGGGCTCAAAGATAACCTCAATGCCGACCCAAATCACTCAGATGACGAAGCATACCAGACTGATGACAGCTCCGGAGATGCCGACGAGACTGATGACAGCTCCGGAGATGCCGACGAGACTGATGACAGCTCCGGAGATGCCGACAAGACTGATGACAGCTCCGGAGATGCCGACGAGCCTGAGTGGACATACCGTTGCTGCAAGGGCAGTGAGACCTCACCCGGTTGCGTGGTTGAGGCCACGCATAAGTCTTTCCACGACCTGGTGGCCAGCGACACCCATTGGAAGTATACTTGGGCGCAGCGTGAAGTGCAATGGGGATCATCATCAGACTCGGAACAGTGAGCCGCGGGAAAGGTCTGCTTATTGGCGCTCGGAATCAATAGATCAGCAATGCCTCACGGCATGGAAGGGGCGAAAATTCTTGACTCAACTTGTTGCTGCCTTTCGCGGTCTACGGTAGAATTCCAAGACCTCTCAAAGAGCCGTACACCGTGTTTTGAGATTTGAACATATCTCTTTGCAGACTGTATTGCTGTTTTGAATCGTTGTGTATAGACTAGTAACTGTAGGAATATCCTCGTTTCTGTAACTTTCTTTTTTTCTTAAAAGAAACTACTGTTTGGCAGTTACCAGAGACACAGCGTGCCATATGAACAGAAGAGAAATGAAAAGCTTGGCTAAAATATCCATCTCTGCACTTACTTGAACTGCAAATAATTTTCCATTACTGTTAGATACCAGTATAAGAATACGATTTAAAATTTGTAAAAACAGACGAATTTAATTCTTTAGTAAACTATAGGATTATACTATACTATAGAGATGCTATACTAAGTATTTTATAGTTAAGGCAGAAGGTATTAGTATATCGGCATTAGAAACCAAAGTAGCGGCACAACCAGCTCCAAAAGTGTTCGTTATCGTCCTTGCCGGTGCCAGTTTGCTCTGTCCTAGGGTGCAACTGTCCTGCTCTTTCGGTGCGAACATGCTTAATTTATGGTTTAACCATATGCAAACTTTGATGAAAGCCTTTTGAGTGCAGTCAGTGAGAGGGCTGTGGACGTCGCGCACGATTCCGCGTTCATGAAAGGCAACTTTTGATTATGTCTAGTCTATGCCCAGTGGTCGCAACATCCATCTAGTCGCGTCACAAATCAAAGAGCTTCTTGAGCTCAGCCATGGTCTCCTCTGGGTTCTTGACCGAGTGGCCGATCGTTCTTGGGTCCTCGTAGATCTCGTAGTCATTGCCGCCCTTGTAGGTCTTGTCACCGAAGAAGTGAATCTTGGTGTAGTCAACGCCGCCTGGGAGGTTCTTCTCATTCTGCACATGCTGAAGGCAGTAAGTCTTGTCCCAGCCAACTGGGAATACATCGAAAGAGATCTGACCGCCAATGGAGAAGCTGCCAGATACGTCAGTACACTTCATGCCTAGCCAGCAATATGAAAGCACTCACGTGAGTCCGAGGTCTGGGAATGCGGCCTTGATGTCCTCAATGAACTTCTTCCTGATACCATGCTCCAAATCGTACTTCTCATAGTCGTTTCGCTCCTGCACGCTGGCGTTCCTGCCAACTGGGCTGACATTGATCATGCCATTTCTGAACTCAACAAAAGTTCCTCTCTTGACTGGGATGTCCAGGTCGGCGATGTAGTGGAGCAGGAACTTGACCAGCTTCTTGTAGTTCTCCTCGCCAATCCACCCAATGAAGCTATGGCTTGCGAGAGGTACACCCATGCGGTAGGCGATCAGGCCATTCTCGGCAAAGGAGAAGTCGAAAAGAGTTGTGACTGGTATCGAAGTAGTGCCCAGCTGCTCTTGCTGCTTGACCAGATCAGAGCCTCCCACGAAGCCAATGGCAACCTTCTGGCGGAGGGCAGAGAGCAGTTGGAGCATCTCTGGAGAGACAGAGCGTCTGGCTGGAGTGAGGGTACCGTCGACATCGAAGAGGCAAATGGTGTTCTGGACTGGTCTAGCTGCCAAGTCTGGCACAACTGCTGCTGCCGCGGCTGGCATCTTGGTGGTTGTTTATGGAGGGGTGACTCGAGCTCTTGGGAGATTGTGTTTGCTCAGTCTCTCGAGCTGTGTTCGATGCGTAGCTTGACGGCGTTTATAAGTGTCTGAAACAGCTGTGCGACTTCAGAAAGGCAAAGGTGTTCGCATTGAAAGTAAACACATACATAGCTCTCAGTCTCAGAGATCGGAGAAATCGCGGTCAAGGATTGTGTCAAGGTTCGAGCTAGGTTGAGCCTCATGTCAGGGTCTTCAGAGATCGCGGGGTATTCTATTGGAAGCCAACATTTGAACAGACATTGAACAACATCTCATCAAGTTGCTCAACCCCTTTTGTCCATCCATATCTGCCATCAAGACACCTTTCACATTTTAACACCATCAACGTCGATGAATCACAGCTCCGCCTCAATCGCTTACGCGTCTGCATTGACCGCACGTGCCATGGAACGTGGTACAGAATGCAAAGTTGTCCTCTTCACCAGGCTTTTCCTCAAGCCCTGGCTCATTCCCAGATCCTCCGCCGCGCGTACAGTGAAGTGGTCTCGTCTGTGATCACACGAACGACCAGGTTGATAGCCAATGGCCATGATCGAAAACGCAATATCGGAAAACATGAGCATTACAGAAAAGCTAGGCCAAGCAACAGCCTGACAGCGAACCCTAGAATAGAACCTCTCCCAACGACATCGTCCGGCTGTACTGCACAGCGTAGTGGTCAACACACTGGGCGCAGCTTTCATGGTAACGACCTCAGCCGCTGTTTCCGACCGGCGTAACATCATTCCATTCATTCATCATAACGAATCAACCTATCAAAGCATACCAATCTGACATTCTATACTTCTGCCATCCTCTCATCTTCACTGCATCCATCACCACCTCCGGTTAAATTCCAATCCCATCCCAAACCTCCGCCTTAAGCAACTGACTCGGAACATCCAAAATCCCATCAACCATCTCATCCGCAAAGAACTTAACCCCAAACGTCTCCTCCGCGGCATAAATCCTCGTAGTAATCGCACACCGACCATTCACAAAGACTTCCATTACACTGTTATCCCTCCATATTCTAACCCTCAACTCCTCCCTTCCTGCTTCCTTCGTTTCGAAAAGTGTGAAAGGAGCTCTCTCGGGTTCAGAGTTGACGAGTTCGCTTGAATTGAGGACTGGGAAAGCGGGACGATTGATGACGAATGACTCGGAAGGTTGGTCGTAGAAGAGGGTTGTGGTGCGGGAGTTGTCTTCGGCATGGGAGATGGAGATGCCGATGTGTTGGGTGGAGCGAGAGGAGGAGAATGTGGCGTCGAGTTCCCATGCTTTGGAGGTCAGGCCGCCAGGAAGGTGGACGGAGGTGAATGAGCCGAGGTCAGAGCGTGGGAGGTAGGTATACTTCACGCCCGGGTTTCGTCGAAGGGCGGAGACGAGAGGAGCATAAGGCTGGGAGGCCAGAGTGCGGATCGTGTATGTGCCGTCGGCGTTGAGCTTCCTTTCGATAGATGTTATTGACGACAGGTCAGATCCGGAGGATGTACCGACGACGTTGTGCAGCGTTTGGAGGGAAAGCTCTCTTGGCATTGAGAGACAGCCACTCCAGCCTTGTCCGTGTCGTAAGTCATCGCAGATATCTTCTTCTCTGATCCATCCCCAAGCGATCTGCTTCTGTGTCTTGGGGTCGAAGAATGAGTTGGCCGCATAGAGGCAACCATTGTCGTAATGCCCACCAAATTTGAATGTCATCTCAACTGGTCCTGCGGAGGGAGAACTTTTCGGTGTCTGGAGATCGCCTGAGAACCAGAGCTGAGCTTTTGTTGAAGGTCGCGATGGGCTAAGGGTGTCTGGGCCAGGAGCAGAGGGTCTCCGTTCGGGTATGCAGCCTTCTATGCCCATTATGACGAAGTCGCGTTCGATACTTGGATCTTCTGAGTCGCGGAGAGTCGTGAAGTTGGTGACTTCCCAATTCTTGCCGAAGTCGCCCGACCATTTGGATGGTCGTAAATTGTCACCGAAGTTTGCTAGTGGTCCAATGTACCTCCATTTGGAGAGCTCGTTGGCATCTATCGCGTACAAGAATGTAGTTGGGGTCGTGTCTCGAATGCCACCAGATACAATTCCGAATAGGGTATTGTCTTCGTCAAGGCTGAGATGTCTGGCCATGCGAGGCCATTTGGCAACGAAAGGATCCCGCCAACCAGTCACATCGAGACCAGCAGGTTCTGATGGCAGAATAGGATTGGCATCAATGCGTCGAAAGATTTTGCCGCCATCGAAAGACTTTGCCAGACTTAACGACTCACTTCCTATTACATGTGGTAAGGTGTAATGTATGGGTAGGTGATTGACCGATGTATATGCGTAAGTAAGCGCGCCGTCTTTTCCGTTGATCATGCAGCCTGTGAAAATGCCTTTGTTGTCATAGCTGGCCTCCGGTCTGAGGCACGGTTCGTCTTGCAATGTCCAGTTGATCATATCGGGCGACGTTGCCGACCCCCAACATATATCTCCCCAATCAGGGCCGTAGGGATTCCACTGGAAGGATACATGATAAAGACCAGTGTTTGGATCATATCCGGGCGCACACGGGTCGTTCATCCAGCCTTCCCTGGCCATCAAATGGTACGAAGGTCGCCATCTCGCAAAGCGCTGTTCTCTGGTGAGTTCCGGTAGCTGCTTCAATTGCCGAAGTGGAGGTTTGGATTTCGGAGGCGATGACGGAGCGGTTGTTGGCTCAGAAGGGGATGAAAAAGGTGTGAGGTCTGCAACCTCGGAGCTTGAGGTGCTCACCTTTGACAAGTACGACGCCAGCTTGACTGATTGTGCGGGATGATAGGGGAAGGTATTGTGAAGAACATTTCTTCCAAGTTCCAACAGAAGACCGCAGAGACACCGCGATGAGCTCCATGCACAACAAGCCGAGAGTCTTGCCGTCGAATGTCGGCAAGCCAGAACTGGAAGAATGGGAAGCTACTGTACTATATCCGTCTCGGAAACCTTGCGACTCCCAAGCCTCACCTCTCGCCATTCTTTAAAAACGCGCCTTACGATTCTGCGAACAACAAAAAAACTTAGAAAACCTAGACTCTCTACTATAGACTGTAACTATTAGATTTATACATAGTATAGTTCTATTTTAGTAAATACTTTTCTATAGCTTTAAAAATTAGAATAGTAAATATTTATATATAGTTTTTTCTATACTTTAAGAATTATAAAATAGATTCTTTTTAAAATACTATACTACAAAGCTAAAAAAACGCTAACAGCCTACTACTATTAGAGACATAAAGCTTAGTACATAATATAGGTTATATAAGTAGGTAGATAGTATAGTTAAAAGTATATACTAGTATTTAATAGAGTCTGTAAAAGAGGGGGAGAAAGGTTAGGAAGTTAGGCTGGCGCTAAGCGCTAAGCCCTACCTGAGGCACTGGGACCCTAGCTTTACTTAGCCGGTTATATGCCTTTTATATACCCTCTAATATATGCCCTCTAGTGTAGTAATATCTGCTAAAAGCAGATCGAATCTATTTAGACTGTTTTTGCTTCTTAGACTTAGAGCAGTAAACAGGGCAAGTGTCTTAGTAGTCTATATACTAAGGCTAGATCCTAATACCCGTATAGGCCAAACCAGGAATCGATTCTTCTGCGAAACGCCGAAGCAGCTCCCGTGGACTCTGGATGCCATTCCGACATCTCGGGTCAATCTTGCCGACGGAGAAACTCACCCATTTCGGAATCACATTCTCTGAACTCTAAGTTCATACTGTACCACATGGTCATCGAACTTCCATTCCCCCCAGAACATCTCAACAAAGTAAATGTTGATCATACTTAAAGATGGGCCCAGTCATGGCCTGTGAAACCCCAGACTCATCAAGCATCAAGGCTTCAGTACCTACAAGGACACTCATCTATTGATATCATTTGCCTCTACGCCTTCGCCATGGATCGCAGGGCATCAGTTGCAGCCATCGACGAGAAAGTCGATGCAATCCATATCGAAACTGCTGTCTCATCGACAGCGAGCAAGGAGGAGTCAATGCCTCACAATCACCGCGACATCACTCCCAAGGAACAATTCGCCAAGCTATGGGCGGCCATCAAGGCCGAGAAGAGGCTCTGCTAGTGGGGCCTATACTGCATGCTCTCAGTATTCGGATGGGGTTACGATGCCGGCCTCAGTGGCGTAGCCATTGCATTTCCTGAGTTCAGAGAAGTCTACGGAAACTACTGTGCCGATGGCAAGCAATGGGTCATCCCTGCAGTTTGGCAATCGCTTTGGAACGCAGCGTCGACCATTGGACAGGTCTTCGGAGGCTACGCCGCCGGTTAGTTCGCAGACATGGTTGGACGTAAGGCACCGCTGTACACTGCCGTCACGCTGTCTCTGGCGTCCTCTTTCGCTTTGGTGTTCGCACCCAATCTTCCGGTTCTCTTCGTATCGAAGCTGCTGTGGGACTATCAACTGCCACACCACCCCTCTACGTGACGGAGAATGCGCCGGCAAATTTGCAAAGCACCCTCTCACCTTTGACTAACGTTATCATCGTCCTCGGCTTCTTCTGCTCCTCGCTTACCGGATACGGTGCCTCCAAGATCAATGGCGTCTGGTCATTCAAGCTGGCTTTTGTCATGACATTCATGGTACCAGCTCTATATCTTATCGGCCTCCCGTTCTTCCCTGAGTCGCCAGTGATTGAGTAGAGGTCGTAGATGCACATAGCACCTCAAAGTATCAGAGGTTTTCAATGCATTTTCAGCAAACAACGTGCAGGTTTAATATGTGCTCCTACAGTCTCGGTAGCCGGAGTCGTGCAGTCTTATTCGTCACCACGGTGAATCTCGATAATCAAAGACGTGGAATCAACATGGTTCGTGCTCGGTCGAACGCGTGCGTTCTGAGATTTTGAAGCAGGGATGTAAACTGAACTCATCTCTCCGCTCCTCAACCGCACTGCCCTACCAACCATCACTCCTCCTTTCACACAGCATAGTACAACGATGCGCCTTGAAGCACAGCGTCAATCTTTCCGGCAGCCAATGCCCCTGGAACCACCTGATCTGGGCTCAATTTGCCTCCAACCGCGGCGGAGAAGTGTTGTAGTTCAGTTAGGTGATATGCTGGTTAGCTAATACCATTAGCTAACCTGTGCTAAGAGGAAGGACGCACAATGGGTATATTAACTGCAGTTTCTGTAGCAGGCTCCTAATCCTTCTTCGTATAGTTACATAGTTGTCAATCCGATAATTAGTTGCATCCTTAGCACGATTTACAATAGGTTATAAGCCCGGCGTATACGCTTACCTGTCCAGTTCAACTACAAAAGAACTATTTCCAGAGTCCACCAAACAGAGCTAGCTATCTAGACCTATTAGGTACCTAGTTAAGAGCTCTAGTTCGGACTAAAACCTAGTAAGTGTCCCTTATAAGCCCTGCCTAGCACTATACTAAAAGGCAGCTAGGAACGATGGACACTAATTAGATAAAGACAGTAAAGGAGAATTAGGTTCTTAGGAAGGGGATCAACTTCTAAGACTAGAAGCTTATATTCTAGGCGGCCCTTCTAGAAAAGGACCTAGTTAGTATAGTATTCCATAGACTTAACTAGGCTAATAAAATAAAACTACCTCTAAAAAGCATGTTTATAGGGGACTTAGCCGATTAGTAGTATAGAGACATATTTAGGGATTGGAAAAAGAAAGACATCTAAGCCCTAGGCATACTTATTGCTAGACTCGACCCTACTCTTAGACTAGACTTCGGTAATACACCTAAGTTAGCTAAGGATACATACGACTACATTGAGGCTCTATATAAGCCTATTGTAACCGTAGACATATTTGATACTATCAAACTTATTAGGCATATTAGGATGCCCCTTACTAATCCGAACACCTAGCAGTACTGCGAATCTTTTCAGCAGTAGTTTAATAGATTCTAAACATCGACAGAACAATTTGCTAGCTTAGTTACAATAATAGAAGCGCCTATAAAGTCATTAGACATTAAGATGCCTAATATGCTTATTAGGATGCTGTTTATTTAGGGCCTTTCTAGTTACGAATAGCTCAGATCCTAGAAGTATAATAATAAGCCTAAAGCTAAGGACTCCTCCCTTAAAGCAATAATAACGTCCCTAAGGAGAGAAAAGCCTCCTAGACAGTTATCTAGCGGCTTAAAGCTTGTTAGAGGGGCTATTAGCAATAATGACGACTAGTGCACTTAGTATAAGCATAAACATACTAACGCTAAGTGCTATAAGCAACACCCTAATATAGTACTACCTAGTTAGGGAAAGAAAGACAAGAGCAAAGACAAAGACAAAGGCAAGAAGGGTAAAGGCAAAGGAAAGGGCAAATCTAGTAGTGCCATTAACAATGATAAAGATGAATCAGACTCCTCCTCTAACTCGGAAGATAAGGGAGACTATTAGCTAGACGGCCTTAGTAGGGGCCTAATTGGGGGAGCTATTGCAAAGCCGGGACTAGCTACAGCAAGCTCTAAGAACCTAACAGCTAACATAAAAGTTTAGGATATAGGTACATTACTGCACATTATAGGGAACAAGAGCTAGTTCAGCGATCTTAAGCACCTAACTAAGCCTATTCAGTTCTCCTAAGCAGTAGGAAAATTAAGTGTATTACGATTAGGAACTGTTAACATCTTCCTAACCTATAAAGGAAAGAAAACCCCAATTACTCTAATAGACGTCCTCTACTCCCCGAACTCAGATTGTAACCTAATCTTAGCAGAGCGCCTTTAGAAGAAATATAGCATTCACTTAGACAGACCTTTAGGCACTTTAATACTTAAAGGCAAGCTAATTAGAAAAGTTAAGGAAGTATAAGGAGTACTTGCCCTTAAAGACGCTAAAGTCAAAATGCTAGGCTTAGCTTCAAAACCAAACTTAGAATCGAGTTAGAAAGGGCAGCTGTTAGCCCTAGCTATCGCTAGACTACGAGCGGACACATTGAGATAGCATTAGAGACTTAGCTACGTCGGCAACAAGATCCTAACAGCTACTAAGGAAGCTATTCTAGGCCTAGAAGAAGTTGATACATTTAAACTCGAGCACTATAAGACCTACAAGCTCTCGAGAGCTTAAAGAGTTGTGTTAAGAGAATATAGAACTAGACTAAAAAAAGCCCTTAACGAAGTCTATATTGACCTTGTTAGCGTACAACCATTTAATCTGTTTAGAAATAGGTATATTATAATCCTAACTAATGCTAAAACTAGGCTCAGGTAGGGTCTGTTACTTCGAAACAAAGATAAGGTAACAAGTAGTAATAAGCTAACCAACTAGATAGCTAGAATCAAGAGGTAATACAACAAAATCCCTAAGATTATCTTTAGTAATAGCGGGGGAGAGTTTACTAACAACGATCTAGTACATTTTACAGAGGAAGTTAGCATTAGATAGGATGTGTCTACACTATATATACCGGAGCAGAATAGCATTATAGAGTCGTTAAACAAGACGATTCTGCTTAAGGCAAGAGCAATAATAATTGACTCTAGCCTACTAATATACTACTAGTGCTTTGCAGTAATGCATTCGATTTACCTAACCAATAGACTAGTAAACTTAAGAACTAAGGAAGTTCCACTTAGGGCTTTCGAATCAGACTTGAATATCGGCAGTACAGATATTGACCTATCTAAGACGAGACGGTTTGGCTATAAGGCATTCAAATACCTCGAATCCGGGGTTAAACGACTTAACTCCTAGAAATTTGCACTAAGAGCTTTCGTTTACTAGTTTATTGGATTCTAAGAAAATTCATCAACAAACTATCTGCTCTAGAACCCGCACTAGAAGGATGGCGTATAGCAACATAACATCAGATTCTCTCTATACGTTACCTTCAACGAGGACTTTGTCTATAAAGACAATTTCACTAAGCTTCTAAGTACCCTTTAAGCTTAGGGGGAGTATTTAAGACTAGCTGTCCCTTAGGAGACTATTTAGGTACTTGAAACCTAGTCTAACCTTTCATTTAAGTTAGGAATCCCAGCACTATTCCCTAGTAATAACTAAACACCTTAGCACTCTTTAGAACCTTAAGGGGAGCTATTTGGAGGTAGCATCCCTTAGCCTTAGCAGGCTTATAATTAGGAAGATTAGGAAGACTCCCTTATAGCTTAGGGGGAGTAAGGTACACTTAAGCAAGGAATACCACCTCAGCCAATACCTACAGCTAATAAGCCAACACTCTAAGATCACTAACTAGAACTACTAGTTGCCTAGTAGGAAGCTGCTCCTAAGAAAAATTAGCACACTTAAGAAACAGATACTGCTAAACCAGAAGACACCCCAATCACTCCCTTCTAAGTCCCTAAGACTACTAGTAAGAGAAAGAGGGCTCCTAACCTACCTTAGCTAAACCCTCCTTAGGCCGAAGTACGACTTAGGTCTAGCAGAGCCGTAGCTAAGCACGTAGCTAAGCATAACTATAGCAAGATTACTAAGATTGCTGTAGCTGCTACTACAAAAGATGCTTAGAAGCTAGCTGACCTAACAACCCTAGCTGAAGCCCTAAAAAGGCCTAACTAGGATGAATAGAGAAAAGCCGTTACAAAAGAGATAAGGTCTCTTGAAAAGTCTAGTGCAATCGAGTGGATTCTAGCCGAATCCCTACTAAAAGGTAGAACACCTCTAATAGGAAAATAGGTTTTTAAGATTAAATACCTACTAGACGGCTCTATTAACAAATATAAGGCAAGATAGACAGCTAGAGGCTTTACACAGAAGCAAGGTCTTAACTATATTAACACCTACGCTCTTATACTAAGAGTAGCTACTACTAGACTTGTCCTTAGGCTTTTAGTAAACAAAAACTAGAAGCGAAGATAGGTTGATATCGAGACTGCTTTCTTAAATCCCCCTCTAGATAAAGAGATTTTTATTAGACCCCTAGAAGGCGCGCACCTGTTTAAGAAGCACCCTCTAAAGTGGATTATCCGTATTAGAAAAGGATTGTATAGCCTTAAGCAGGCTGCTAATCTCTAGCACTATAATGCTTTAGACACTCTTCGTCAACTTAGCCTAAGCAGGACAAAGAGTAACTGTTACCTATAGTAAGGTAATAGTATTCTTGTCCTCCTTTATATAGATAATTTCCAAATCTTTAGAACCTCTAAGGCAAAGATCGATGCTCTAATTGAAGGTCTTCGTAAGAAGTACACAATTAAGATTGTTACGTCCAACCTGTTTCTAGGCCTTTATCTAAAGGAAGACAAGGAGGGAAACCTTACTATCTCCTAGATACACTATACTAAAGAGAAGCTTCAGAAGCATAGCTTAGACTAGTATAAGCCAATAAAGCATCCACTTAAGAAGCTTTACGAGCCTCTTACAACCCCCTATAACCGTTAGGACTACTAGCTGTTTAATACTATAATTGGTGAAATGCAGTTTCTAGCTAACCAAACTAGACTAGATATTAGCTATACCGTCAACCACCTTGCTAGGTTCCTTCAGAATCCCGGACCTAAGCATATTATAGCTGCTAAACATCTCTAGAGGTACATTGCTAGTACAGTTGACAAAGGACTTGTCTTTAGAAAGAAGAAAACTTTGGAATTTCAGGCATACTCTAACGTAGACTTTGCTAGTAACCCTTTATTATTAAGATCAACATTAGGCGCCCTTATACTTCTTAATAATACTCTAATTATGTAGAGATTATAGCTCTAGAAGGAAGTCGTGCTCTCTAACACTAAAGTAGAGTATATTGCTCTAATAGAAGTATATAGAGAAATCTGCTAGCTCCGAAATTTGATAACTGAGCTTCAACTACTTACTAGGGAAGAAGTCAATAGGATTTATATCTAGGTAGACAACCAGTTAGCTATTTCCCTTATTAAGGACTACATAGATTCCAAGAGGTCGAGGCACGTTTCCCTTAGGAACTACTACTATAGAGAACAGTATGCCTAGGGAAAGATTAGTGTCGAATTCGTCACTACTAACAAACAGCTAGCGGACTGTTTTACTAAGCCCAAATCTCCAAACAAAATTCTCTAATAATACAGCGTCTCTAGGACAAACTCCTAAGTTACTCCTTTAGAAAGAAAAATCTTATTTGTAAGATTAGAAAATAAGCTTTACATACTTATTGAATTTCATTCTAATTTCTAGAAACAGCTTAGCTGCACTATGCAGTCTAAGCTGCAAAATTTCTTTTATAACAACATTAAGACTAAGTAGGAAGAAATACCCCAGCCCTTAGGAGTTAGAAACTCTCTAATGCTATAAGGCTTTCACTAATCTAGACTACCTAGCCTATTTCAAAATCAAAAACATATATTATAGCTCTCTGCCTACTAGAAAAAACCGAATCTCCCTAATCAGCCACCTATCTTAGCATTACTATCTTCGTAATTAGAGAAACCCTCCTAAGGACTACCGGAACTACGAGTCGAGCTAGGACTAGTAGACAACCCAGAACCTAGCCTACGACTACGTCCCTAAGTAGCAGCCTAGGCATAAGCATTTGCCTGCTGTAGCAGCAAATTTGCTACTGCCTACGCGCCCTAAGGAGTACTCTAATCGATGCTAGACGGGACTAGCACGTACAGACGACGCTAATTAGTGCCCGCTCTACTCCCCGGATTGCGAGGCGGTAGAGGTACTATAGGCGTCTAACGATTCGTATTAGAGCGTAGCCGAGAGACGTAACCTAAGAAAAGAATTAGTGTTTTTGCTTCAAAAATGTATAAGACTAGATTCAACTTACTAGAGAACTCGCATTGACTATAATAGTTTAGGCTAGCACAGTTAGTGTAGGCGCCCTTCAGAAAAGCAATATCCTAGCTATTGATTCGATAACTCAGAGTTATACACTCTAAGTACGGACCCTTTAACTACTTATAAGGACTACACTGGCTATTACTAGTATGCACGCGTCTAGCAGCAGCCGTATATACAAGCGTAGTAGGCAAGTAGTTAACATTCGACTTTGAACCTAAGTTAAATGCCTTAGCCGCCTTACGTAGGCGCGGAGGCACACTTAGAAATAGCCGAGCATTATCCTAGTTCGTAATGAAGTACCTAACATTAACGTTGCGTAGCTAAGGCGGAGTCTACTCCGGACTAATATTAGTTAAGCACTAGATGATTCTCTAGAGAATCGCGATAGTTAACTAAACTTCCTTAAGAACTGCGCCTAGTTAGCAAATTGTTAGAAAGGGAAAACTCTAATAGCAACACTTACTAGTCTCTATAAGCTAGAGCTTATTATAACGCGAAGGGTGCCGATTCTTGTTTAGATCGTTACTACCGCCGCCGCTGCTACTACTACCTATACTACTCGCTATACTCCCTAGGCTAGGGTGAAGAATCATCGCTATAATAAAGTCTCGGCTAGCTATTAAACTTGAAAAGTTTTAGTAAGAATTTGAATTCTAGTAGAGGCTGCTAATACTTAGGGGATTGCTAAAGAGTAGATTGTAAAAGTTCAAGTTGTTTAGTTAAGCTTAGGTGTCTCTTATAGGCACCTGCTAACCCTACAATTACGACTAAGGACATCACTCTAAAGCAAACTAATTAGCAAACAATGTAATACAAGCACGTACAAGTAGCACAGCATATAAAGCTGCACGTAAAGCAGATATAGTCTAACATCTAAAGGCAGTTAGAAGATGAAGTGAAGCTCTAAGCCTAGATTTAAAGTGTCTAATCTAAACAGTACATTATCTCTACCTAAGGGGGAGTGTTATAGTTTAGTTAGGTGATATGCTAGTCAGCTAATACCATTAGCTAACCTATGCTAAGAGGAAGGACGCACAATAGGTATATTAACTGCAGTTTCTATAGCAGGCTCCTAATCCTTCTTCGTATAGTTACATAGTTGTCAATCCGATGATTAGTTGCATCCTTAGCACGATTCACAACAAGAAGGTTTCATGGTCGGTTTTCAGCAGGTCAATCGTCGCCTTGACCACGCTCGTTAGGTCCGCGTCGTCGAAGAGAGGCTTCTTAGCCTCAATGACCTTGACACCTTCTGGAATACTGACGCCGACCGAGTCGTTGACATTGTCGACGATTGCTTTGGACTCGGCGGATGTGAAGCTTGGAGCCGCGTTGGCGTCGGCATAGCCTTTCCTGTTGATCGCGTGGATTCCCAAAGCCGCAGCAAACACCGGCTCGGATTCTTGAATGCCACCCTGATATGCTGAAACGGCTGCGGTGAGCTTGCGCACTGCTCGGTCGATGCCGGTGATGTCGTTGTTCACGTCCTGCGCGGTTGCTCGCTTTTGGATAGGGCTCGCAAGGGCGAATGGTGCCAGGAGGAGCAAGGTGAGTCCACGCATTTTGGATGTGCTCTGCTGAGTGAATGTTGGGCTTGTAGGAGTGAATGAAGTGGTATCTGCCTACTCTTAACCCAGGATGTGGGCAGTCTTTGTACTGCCATGCTTAGCAACGCCCGCTTTGCTCAGAGATTAGAGGTGTCTGTCAACAACGTGCTAAGTGAAATGCCGAGGTGATCAGCGAGGAAGCCGAACTTGCAATTGGACATGTCGCTTCTCATCAGGCACCGTTCGAAGCATAACCACTAAGTAGCAATGTCCGGATTGCGCGCAGCGACAAGTACTTGGAAGATATCGATCTCTAAGAGCTGTCTGGCCACCTTCGAGGCCGCACCCTCTTCCGCACGCACGTATCCATTAAGTGCTGTGCAGACTCCAACGGGACGCGCCAGCGATGGCCTCAAAATTTGAGTGAACTTTACGAAGAGCACCGCTTCGCTAAATATGTAAGCCCTACGACCTCGCCCAGATGGGCGACGCCTATGCACCTACCAGCGTGAGATCGACGATGGCTGAAGGCCAAACATGACAGCGAAGCTATACCGAGCTATCCACAGGGAATATTCTGCTCCGCCAGCTGTAAATGATCACATGGTCTGCACGAGGAACGCAACGCTTCAAAGAGTGCGAAACAACCATATTTCAGCAGGGCTTTCGCTCCAGCTCAAAAGGAAGGCAGATTGGGCGATCTTGGCTCGCCACCCATCAGGATGGGTCTGAGTACTTCGCTTCTGGGCTGAGAATGCACGAGTACATTCAAGAAATGCGCAAAGAAGTACGAGCCTGGAGTGAGTGAGTGAGTGAGTGAGCACCGTGCCTTATGCTTGGGCAGGGTGAGGAACAAACAACCATTGGCTGGCTAAGCGTGTGGTCTGTGCACTGAGACTAGCCTCACCCCGCAAAGATTAACCTTATTCTACCCTTCCATGTCTAGCTTACTACTGAATGTCGCACTTCCTCTCCTCTCTCTGCCCCATTCTCACATCGACAATGCGTTGCAGACGATGTTTGGCATCCTCGACGCCGCAAATGGCACGAGCACAGGCAAGCCGAAGACATCGGCGGATCGCGCGTGCGACCAGTGCAAGCAAAGGAAGGTCAAATGCCAGATGACGAAGCCTTGTAAGTCTGAAGAGCGTCAGCAGGCCGTGTATACCATGTACGGCCGGCCAGCGTAGAGCCTCGAGATCGCCATGGTGTAGCTCTGGTGCTTACTCGCTGTGCTGAGAGCATGGTGTTGGCGTGGCTCGCGTGGCTGACAGCATCGCTTGGAACATAGGTACGAATTGTTCGCTGAAAGGTTTCACTTGTACCTACGACAAGCCACGCAAGAAACGAGGTCCAGCGGGGAAGCGTATGAGCGAGATTCGTCTTCATCAGAAAAGTCTCTCGTCATCAGACCAAGACCGCATGCCATTCGAAGCAAGTCCAACCATGGAGTCACTTTCGCGAGTCAGCACGGCCAACTTTGACAGCAATGGACATGCCATGCAAAGTGGGTATGCGGAACGACAAACGTGGTCTGCATCATCGGCCTCGCAGCCTGATCCCACGTCAGCAGCTCACACGATGCCGGCATACGGAGTTGGCAATACTGAGCAGGCTGCGGCCGATATGAGTTCTGCGATCGCTGGGGCCACACCACGACCACCCCATCAGCAGTATGCTGCAAGCGAGCACTCCACCACAAGTATAGGTGGCAACTCCATCACAAGTCCAGCGTCATACATATTTCCAAGTTTACCTGCGGAATCCCCTTCTGGCATGACTGATCCATTTGGCGCAATTCTGGAGCAAGAATTAGCACCTCTCGCTGCAGCTGCGGATGCTTGGCCAGCCAGAGTCAACGAGACAACGCTTCTGCCATGGATCGATGTCTACTTCAAACGTTTGCACCCGACTGTAAGTCTGCAAAAGATCGCTATAGCTCAAAAGCTTCGTGCGAATTCGAATTTTGCGCACTGAAGAAGCGATCTCATGACATTTACTGACGCCAAAATCTCACTCCTGTAGGTCCCAATTCTTAGTAGAACGCGTCTGTACTCTGATATGCTGCTGCGAAAACACCGTACAGATCCTCAATATGGATCAATGCTGCTGGGTTTGGCAGCATTCGCAATGACTCAGCCAGTTCACATCCACGAGCGAAGATCAATGCCCTCCCGGTCGATTCAGGCCCGCATGCTGATGGAAGAATGCGTGAAGTTGAGGGTAGCTGTGAGCTTTGGCGAGGATCCGACAATCGAGATGATTCTGGCAAGCTTTTTCCTGTTCGCATGCTTATTTGGCAACAGCGAGCACAAAGCAGCCAGACATCGACTCAGAGAGGCTGTCGACCTGGCATACTCCCTCGGACTACATCTACCTAATTCATACGACGGGCTGGCCTCAGAGAAGAGGGAGCAGTGGCTGCGAACATATCTGGTTCTTTCAGTGACTGAGCGAGCATTTGCTCTCCAACAAAATCACGCTATCAGCTTTAGAGGACAGCCTGGCGTCGCAGCTCGATTCATGCAGGCATTTGATTCTAGGGCCACAGACGAGTATATCTCGTTGCTAATCTACCAGGACCAAGCGGACGCCGTTGGCATGACCGGTCTTCTCTACCTCATGGATACATTCGACACCGTTGATGAAAATGTAATGGATTGCTGGAACGGCTTCTGTCATTACAGTGATGGTGCATGCGAGACGTTTGATCGAAGACGAGCATTGCAGACATTCCGAGCTCAGCGAAGAGTCCGAGAGGCTTGCATTGCTGGCAACATCAGCTTCGCTCCATCGGTCACACCACTTCCGCTCGCGCAGCTGGTAGAAAGCCAACAAGCCGATATCTCGGTCGCTCAATTCTGGCTCTTGAACCGCCTGTGGAATCTTTGCTTGTCACATCAGCTCTTACGGGAAACTTCGGACTACGAGGAGCTTCGCTACGAGTTTGCTTGTCACATCGCACACGCTCTGCTCGCATATTGTAGCAGACTTTCTCTCGCCGCTATGGAAGTCCATGGCGTGGGAATGGCAGAGAAGATCTATGACGTGACCGTTGGAATTCTGACAGCGATCAATGCGACTCCCCTCATACATCTAGAGTTGGTGCTCGGGCCTTTGGAGCCAGATGTGATTCCTGGAGCCATGACGACCGGGCACATTACAGTTCACGCCCTGCTTGAGGGACTTGGGAGGCTCATTGGGGAGTTTCGAGGAGGCGAACATCCATTCAGCTCGAAGTTCGCGTCCGCCGTGAGCTCGCTTCCAGCATATCAGGTGCAACCAGGCTGAGATGCTGTATCGACGTCCTCTTTGCGCTCTAAACAACAAGTTCCGCAAGAAGTTTTGGAAAATCACTTTCTAAGACAGCGGTTGAAAGTGGATGCTTGTGAGGAGATGCACCAAACACCACTTCTGGATTTGTTCTGAGCAGGATATCTAGTACTTCGAGACACGTACTGTTTTGCGGCCATGACCTCCAGTCGGTCCGCCGTCCAGATCCTACATCGCTTACCATAAATCATCGGTGGAATCGTGGGCAGAGAGAGTGAGAAGGCGAGCACTGCGGATATAACAGCGACATTCGCCAAACCAACATCTGCGACCCATGGAGTCAATGTTGTCGCAATGATTGTTGCAATCACGTTTCTCACGAAGGATATGCCGATCAACGGGTCACCGATGACCTGTACATATGTTATGACGCAAAGCACGCATGACTCCTCATCGGAAGCTTACGTCTTTGCAGCAATCCATGGCATAGGTCAACGCAACATCACCGATAACAACGAATCCAAAGCCGAAGACTCCAAAGCCGACGGCTGGAATAACCCAGTGATCACTGTAAGCGGTCGACAAACCAAACCACAGGACGCCAGCAGGCATGAGAATTATGGATGGAAAAGCTGTCCAGAGTCGCATCTCCGGCTCGAAAATATTATTGTTCCTGCGAGAGTGTCAGATAATGGAGCGGTTCACAGTCAGCACGGTCTTCAGCAGTCCAATTTCAGAGGCATCAAAGATGTATAGAGGCTAGACTACTGTCTGCAACGTACGCATTGAATTGTTTGCCGTGAAGTGTTTGTCACAGTATAGCTATACGGCTCTCAAGTACTCTGACCAAACATAGCAAGCCACTCACGGGCGGAAGCCTCGACATCCATATTCTGCAGCCTCTCGTCGCTCACGTTGTAGGCGGTAGGAATGGGTTGGTCGGCCGGCTTGTCAAGGATTAGATTGGCGATATGTTTACCGCAAAGCCAGGCATTGGGCACTAGTAATGTCAGCAATCAGGCGCAAAAAAAGGAATGTCCCATTCCAGTACTTACTTCCATAGCCGTTGTAGCCGGCAGAGATATATTCACCACTGCCATCTCGAGTGGTAGCGGCTTTTGGGAGCTTGCCAACAAGCGGTAGACCATCTGTGGTACAGCCCATAACACCAGTCCAAGCTGCTTTGATCTCGCTGCGCACGGGGCGACCAAATGTAGCGTCCATGATGCCACCAAGGTGAGCGACTGGAAGAGTAGCATTGCTGTCGTCTAGAGCGTTTCCCAGGTCGTGATGAGCTTCAGACATGACAAGTCCTCCTCCGATGAAGATCTCGCCGCCTTCTCCACTCTGGGTTATGTAGTCGAAGCCGTTGCGGTAGTGTATCGAATACGACCTTGACCCGTGGACGCCAAATGAGGCATGAGGTGTTTGTGCGGTCATTTGGCCACGCAATGGCCACAAGGGGCCACGAAGTCCTGGTAATAAATGGCCAGCATGCCCATTGGTGGCATGTACGACACGACTAGTCTTGATATCGCCTCGAGGGGTTTTTACCAAGTAGTGCTGTCCATCGACATCAATACTCTGGACCGGCGTATGGGCATCTATTGAGAATCGCTCGCCATACCTTTCGAGCAGATCCGACAGCATTCCCGTGATCAATCGATATGGCCACGCAGCTCCAGCTTGGGACGTCACGCCGCCAGCTGCGTTGTCAACTCCGTAGTCTTGTTGCAGCTCGCTCTTGGAAAGCACTCGCATGCGACCAGCGAGATCTTGATTGTTTGCCCGGAAGTCCTCAAGCTTCGCCTGCATTTGAGAGAATCCGGAGTCGTCAGTGAACAGATTGACACTTTCGACACGGCGAATCTCGCTATAGCGCTGGAGCTCTGCCGGAAGTGTTGCTGCTACGGCAAAGAGCTCTTCAACATTTGCAAGCGTAAAGTCGACCACTTCTCGCGCCTTTTCTCTGCCTATTCGAGGAGCCAGATCTGCATAGCTCACTTCCGGGACGGCTTTCACATGTCCGCCGTTTCTCCCCGTGGCTCCGCTGCAGATCTGACGAGCATCCAGCATGGCAATATGTAAGTCATGAGCTTGCATCAGGAGCTGTCGGGCCACACTGCACCCCGTGATTCCTGCGGGTAAAGAAGGAGAAATCAGCACGGGTCTGCGACAGAGGCTGAACTTGAGTCACCAGAGCCAATGATCACCACATCTACGTTGCGCGGCAGCTTCGAAGACTGCAGGTCGGCCAGAGGCCTAGTCGGCGGTTGTTGCCAGTATGATCTGGTCGAGTTCTCTACTGGCAGCCCCGGATCATTCTCCAGTTGCTGCTTCAATTGATGCAGCCCGGCCATCTACAACACGCTTTGATAGTCGGCGATCACTTAATGTCGATTGATGGGTGGTAATAGAGGTCGATGAGAGGAAACGTATCATCAGCTTTATTAGAACTATTCTACAGTAGAATATGCCGCAGTGTCGGGTCCCGCGCGGAACTTGACAGCCGCCGGCAAGCTTTGCCCTGCCCTGCCGGTAGAATACGCAATAGAACTGTTATAAAGTTGAGATTGAAGATGATTATATAGAGGAGGAAGGCTAATTATAAAGGTAGAGCCGTCGCTCTATTAGTTAGCTAACCCCTAGACCGTTACTTCCTTATTCCGTAATAGTCTGCCCTAAATAAAAGAAAAGGTACGCCCTCGTACTATTGCTCTAACTTTCCTCGTTGCCTAGATATTAATTATCTAGTAGGCCGTCTACTACTTAGGTATAATGTCTATTTGTATTTCTATTCGTTTAAAGGTATACTATTACCTTAGCCTTCCTTTCTACGAACTCCGCTTGCTTCTTATTAGCCTTAGCTTCTATTACTACCTCCTTACGATCTAACTAGGCTTAGACTTACGCTCGTCGCGTTTCCTTCTTAGCTACTATCTATCGGTTAGTATATCGTTCTACGGACGGGTCGGTTAAGTTAGTCTATACTCCTATATAGCGATAGAGTACCTATCCTTAGTTACTTTCGAATTCGGCGCTAAGGTCGTCCGTTAGCTAGGTAGCCTTAGTCGTTGCTACTAATAAACCTTCCTTTTTAGACTTCTATTTAGGCAGGTTTAGCTTATTGTTACCCTTATTATCGGTAGCTTCCCTAGCCGCCTAGCGGTTATTCTAGTCCTTAAGTACCTCGAAGTTCGCTAAAATCTTATTAGGCTTATACTCGTTATCGTTCTCGATCTATCGTCTAACGGTATACTATCGCCTTACTAGGGCGACTCGCTCGGCCTCGCGGTCGTTCTATACCTAAAACTATCGCTAGATAAATTCCTAGAGTAGCTTATTAGTCTCGGACTATAACTTCTTCGTTAAGTTCTTAACCTTTTCGAGCTCTCGCTCGGTCCTATCGTCGGCTATATTCTTCTATATAACTAGGTCTATATTAAGCGTCTTATTAGGTGCTAGATAGAGTATATTAACCTCGATATCTCGTATTACATCTCTTCGCTCTCTAAGTATCTTACTATGCTATTTCTTTACCTTAGGCGATAACTTAGCTAACTCCGCTTTTAAAGTCCGATCCTTAGTAGGCTAAGCCGTTAGGGCTCTAGCTAGAGCTTTCTTCTTATCCGACGACGTCTTAGCTACTAGTAGCGTAGCCTTTAGCGTAATAGGTATCGTCTTCCTAGCCTTCTTAGTTAGCCGAGGAGTTATATCGCCTTCGTCTTCGTTAATAAGTCGGCCCTTACCCTTATTCTTCTTTCTCTTCTTAGTGCTAGACTTAGATAGCGTTACCTCGTTAGCGTTAAATAGCGTAAACGAAGGATTAGTATTAATCGGCGTAAACGATAGAACCGGTGCTTTATTCTCGTTATCTAAGATAGGTTCTATATCGGCGATAGGCTCGTTATCTAAGATAGGCTCGTTATCTAGAACGCTAATCCCTACCTCGCTTTAGAACTAATCGATTCTCTATTCTACCGTTATATTATCCTCTTACGGTTATAGTCTCGAAAAAGAGTTAAAGGTATTAGGCTCGTCGGAGTCGGGCTCGTTAAGAAAGTCGTAGACGTCGCTATCGCGAGCCGAGCGATAGTCGTCGAGGTCGATATCCGGAAGGTTATTAAAAGTGCCGTTACTTATAGAACCGGTACTAACGGTATTCTTAGCCTAGCTATCCTTACCGTTACCCTCGCTAGCGTTACCTAGCAAATTAGTAGTAGTAGCGTCGTTAGTAGCGGCTATCTCGCCGTTAGCCTCGGCGGCCTACGCGAAGAGATCGTTAGTAAAGGACGGAAACCAATACTACTACTACTACTTGTAGCAATAGTATAGGCTACCGAGGGTAATATAACCTATAGCAATATAGGCAGCTATGTTTAGTAAGATAGGATAACGAGACTGTCGCTTAGGCTAATAACTAGAGCCCTGCAATATAGGCATTATAGAAGTGTAATATAAACAATGTGCTGTACGAGGTTAATAATCTATCTACTCTATAGAAGGAGGCCTCTTATATAGGCTTAAAACTGGCCTATAGGTGTAGGGCCGGTTACTAGCTAATATCCCTCCCTTTCTTTATATCTAACTAGACACGCTTTACATTGCGCGCTTAAAACAAATATATATGCATCCTTAGCGCTCTTAGCTAAGGCTATTTTTACAACTCCGCAATAACACCCCTAAGGTAGCATTAATCCTAGATACTATAATTATGTAAAAACAACTTTCTAAGTAACACTATACAAAGCTACTATTGCTTTAACGCGCCGTAATCCTTACTAGCAATAACCTTATCTGCTAGTCGGCTCTCGAAATCTCCTCCGTATACGTTAAAGCTATTAGCACCGAAGTACTATCCCTCGTAGAAAGCTTAATTAACGAGGAGGTTAGTAGCCTTTTCCGTCGTAGCATTCTCCTAATTGTGCAGATATTCCTTAAGTCCTTCGTTATTAAGCTAGAGGATCTGTTTAACTTCGTTCTAAACAACGTAACTTAACTAAGGAATCCTACTAACTAGGGCGTCGGAGATGTAGCCGAGACCTTCGACTAAGATAGCCGTAGGGAAAGCGAATAGTACGAAGGAGTTAGAGGCTAGGAGGGCGGTCAGATTGCGATGCGCTTTAGCAACCTAAGAGACTATTAAGTTCTCGTAGCCCTTAACCTTAGTGCCGTTAATAACGCGAGAGTAGCCTAGGTTAATTAATATACAGTTGCTCTTAGTCTTTAGATTACTATATAGCAGGTGTAGTATCTAAACAGAGACCTCGCACTCCTTTAGAGGGTTAAGGATCTACTCCGCTTTACGCCCCTTACTATTAGGCTAACTATCGAATATATAGTCGAGGTCGTCGTCGGTAAGGTACTTATTAGTAAGCTTGCCGATCTTGCTTAGTAGGACTAGGCTACGAGCCTTAAGCTTCTTAACCTAGTTCGTAAAGACCTCGGGCTAATATATGCCTTCGACAATAGTAGAGTAGCTAGTCTTATCCTTAGATATAAGGCAGACCTTAATACGTAGGTAACTAGCACCCTCGCTAGCTGCGAGCTTAACTATATCTTGTCCGAGACGAGCAGACTCCTTAGAAGGACAGTTTTCGTAAGTACCGCTAACCTTAAAGAACTTAGTAGGCTTAGGGACGGAGATAAGCTCGTATACGTAATTAGGTCGAAGGGCGACAGCTAAGAGCTATAGAGTAGGATGCTAGCGGACGATTTAGTTGCTTATACTATAAGTTTAAAGGGCATTACGGCCTTCTTGCTTAGACTTAGGCATTGTACGCATATACTAAAGGTATATCTTAAACTCCTTCTATATTAGATCGATAAGGAAAGGAAGATGTACTCTACGAGGCTCTTATAACTAACTAAAGACTTAAGGGAAGATAGTATTACTAGTCTAGCGAAAGCGGTCGAAGGAGGTGCCTTAGGCCTCTATAGAGGATCCGAACGATCGAGTATAAGCCTTAGGCTTACCTAGGGTTTAAGCTAAACCTAAGCCTAAGAGGTATAGTTAAGGACATAATACGGCAGCGTATAAAGGCTAGCACCTTAGAGCCTTCCTATGCCTCGTATCGCAATCTATACTTCCTAGTTTAGAAGAAGACAGCTCCTAGGGAGCTAAAGAAGTATCGGCTAATTAACGCTACCTAGAAGTTTAACGTAGTTACGATTAGAGATGCTAATCTTCCTCTAGAGACTAATAGGTTCTTAGAAGCCTTTGCTAACTATATAGTAGCCTCGCTAGTTAATATATTCTCGGGCTACGACTAGATACCTCTCTACCCTAATAGCCGGGACCTTACTAGTTTCGAGACACCTCTTAGGCTATATAGGCAAACTACCCTTCCCTAAGGGGTAACTAACTCCGTAGCCTAGTTCGTTCGTATTATAAACTAAGTCCTCGCGGCCTATATCTCCTATATAGCGATACCTTTCCTCGACGATATAGGTATTAAGGGCCCTAAAACTAGGTACGATAATAAAGAAGTAGAGCCTAGTATCCGTAGGTTCTTTCTCGAATACATTTAGAACCTCGATAGTGTCCTCTACGACCTAGAGCGAGCTAACCTAACGGTGTATAGGGAGAAGCTTTAGCTCCTATACAAGCGCATAAACATTGTCGGGTTTGTTACTAACGAGAACGGCCGCTATCCTAACAATACGCGGGTCCTAAAGATTGTATCCTAGCCCGACCCTACCTATTAGAAAGATGTCCGGATCTAGCTTAGAGTAGTCTCCTACTTCTATATCTAGGTCGAAAACTTTACGTTAGTATATAAGCCTCTATACGCCTTACTTAAGAAGGATATAGAGTTTGAATAGACCTCCGTTTACTAAGCCGCTAAGGACAAGGTTACTAAGGCACTTGTTAGCGCGCCTACGCTTACCTCTATTAACTACTCGGAAGGCGTAGGTCTACTAATTATTGCTATCGACTCGAGCGGGGAAGGCTACGGCGAGATACTAATACAGTATAATCGCGAGGAGCCCTCCTTACGTTACCCTATCCGGTACGAGTCCGGTCTATAGAAACTAATCGAGGCCCGATACGATACTAGTAAGCAGGAGTGCCTTAGTGTCTGCAAAGCTCTTAAGAAGTTCCGTTCTTAGCTTTTTAGAGTATTCTTTCGCCTAGAAGTCGACGCTTAGACGCTAGTCTATTAACTTAACCGTATAGCCTCCGACCTGCCTAACTCTACGATAGCTCGGTAGGTTACCTAGATCTATTTGTTTGATTTCGACGTCTTCTATGTTCCTAGCAGGAAGTATACTAGACCGGATAGCCTTTCTAGAAGGCCTGCTATAGAAGAGGATATCGCCGAGATAATAGAAGAAGAGGATGTCGACGCGGTTATTAACCGTACCTTCTTTACTGCCTTCTATATTAACGCTATACTAGTAAT